CCTAGTGTTTCGACGGTTGCACAGAGGATAGAGCCTTCACCTCCCATTTAGGTCACCCAGGTTAGAATCCCATTCGATACGAATGGCTGTCGATACGAATTCCGCATCCGGCTTGCACCGACCACAGTGCTGACGTGAAATATTCTCAGTGGTAGACGGAGCCTGGGTTAGAGTCTCCTTGCCATCAGGCTAACCGTGGGAGGTTCTCGTGGTCTCCATTTCAATGTGACGCAAATGCGGGTTCGTTCCGTCAAAGAGTCCTCCACAAAGGCAAATTTTTCCCAATACTTGATCCAGAAGTTCCCTTGTTTTCTGGATTGGGTTCAGAATTACAAGGCTACGTGCTTGAACATTAGTAGTCGTAAACTCAAAAATTGGGTCAGCTGTTCAACGACGGCTATAAATTAAAATGAAACACTAAGGAACAGAATTATGCATAATCGATTATAAATAAATATATGTTTATTTATAATCGATATTTATATATTTCGCATTTTTTGGACACTTTTGCTAGTTTAGGGCTTTTTTTTTAGTTTTGGGGGAAAAAATTCCATTTGAGGACATTTTTTGAAATCTTCATAAGTACTAACTCATTTTTACAACTTTCACCCATTTTAACTTCTTTAGGCCATTCCACTGACAAATAATTTGAGTTATAGTTGGTTTACAACTGGTACAGTGTTTAAAAAAAGCTAATCTAAATCTTCCACTTGCGGAAATTGGTTTTCTGAGTTCGGTTTGAAAGTGTATCTAATTTTTTTTTTTTTTTTTTTAAATTTGTATTTAACATTAATTTCAAAACATAATTACAATTTAATTTCATTTTATCTTAATATAACTGTTCAAATAAAATTTAATGCTATATGAAATTTTAGGAAAAAATGATTAAATTGAAATTCTGTTGTTGTTGTTGCTTATCCTCTTCTGGCCTGACGAGGTCAGACCAGATCTATGAACCCGTTGACCTGAAGAAAATCAAACACCAAAAGAGGAGTAGAGTAAATGTCTTCCCAGAGAAGACCAAGACAGTTCAGGATGTGAACGGCGGAAGCCCGGTGTAGATGGCATTTAAGGCAGAGGGGGTAGGTTTTAGTTCCCTCAGAAAATAGTAAACCTTTAAGATGGCGGGTAGCTAGGCGGGAGATGGTGGCGTAGACTCTCCTTTCAAAGGGAAGGGTCAAAGAAGCTCCAGGCTTCTTTCCCTTGTACCAATGGTGGGTGGGGGGAATCAACCAGTCTCTGAGAAGCTGGGATTTCTTCAGGGAGTAAAGTTAAAGATAGGTAAGATCAGAATAGGTAGGGTGCGGTTGGCTGCAACCCTCTTTAGCTAGGCTGTCCGCTAAGTCATTACCATAGATACCGACGTGAGAAGGAACCCACTGCAGGTGAATATTATGTTGGAGGGACATGAGTTTTAGGTTGTTTACGATGGAAATACTGGTTTTGTCGCCAATTTGGGTCCGGTTGTTGAGATGTTGCAGGGAGCTGCGGCTATCAGAGAATATCGAAAGGTCTTTAAAATAAAGGTCATTTTGCATAACAAATTCCAGACCCCTGTTGATAGCCAGAAGCTCACTTCAGAAAACGGAGCAGAAGTCGCTGGCAGAGAGAAAATTTTTCATCAGGAGTCTCGATGTAGACTCCGCTACCAGCACGACTATCGATTTTGCTGCCGTCAGTGAAAAACTTTGCTTCTTGTTTTGGAATAGAGTGAATAATTTCGAGAGCCAGTTGCTTTAGATGGTCGGGCAGGAATTCCTTCTTATTGACAGGAGCGGGAAGGTTGAAATGGAAGAAAACTTCTGGAAGATCTTCAGAAGGGTTCAAAGAACTGTGAAGGGAGTGCGGCTCTACATTATCGACAAGGAGGTTTTGAAAAACTATTTGGCTAAATGGACTGTTTTTCTTGAGCCTTTGGGAGAAAATCCAATTACTGAGGTATTCGGAAGTCTTGTTATGTTGTCCAAAGCTGAGGAGCTTGCTATAATATTTTACCAGGCTGGCTTGTCTTCTGGTATGAAGAGGCAAAAGGTTAGCTTCATAACGTGCAATGTTGGCTGGGCAACTCTGTTTCAAACCTGTGATAATGCGGGCAGCACTAAGTTGGACCTGTTCAAGTTTATTTAGATTGGTCTCAGAGGCACAGCAGAAAATTGGTGAACCGTATTCGAGAATAGGCCTTATGAGAGCCAGAAAGGTAGTTCTCAGAGTGGTCGCAATTGAAATTCTTGTTTAACCGTTTGAGTGCTGAACAGTTTTCTTATATATATGCTAATAGTGCGGAATGAAATACGTAGTAATTTTTTTGGAGAACAATAGAAATGGTTATAACTAACACTAATAATTATGTTTATTAACGCTGATTGTTATGTTAATTACGAAAATTATATTAACCAAAAGCAGCGTCTCCGCATTTTCGGTACAAAACAAGAGAAGCGCTATCGCGCTTCGCCGCACTCAAACGGTTAATTACAAAGGATTATATTTTCATTTTAAAGGCATTTTTTTTGCAGCTTTTAAGGGCGTATTTAGTTTTTTTTTTTTTTTTTTAGATCATCAAAATCTGGGCTCTATTTATTGCTATTTCACGTGAAAAAGTGATTACAAGTAGTCACTTTTATGTAAGGAATAACGGTAGATAATTTTAATACCATTGAAAAATTGCTACTATTCTGTTTCGAAGGGCCGTAAAAAACTATTAACAAAGTATCGATATTACCCACACAATTAATTAAGCATAATTGTAAATAGTCATGTGCTGGCTGATTTTTTTACAACGCCCCGAAACGAAATAGTGCTGAAAAGTTTTGAATATGAACTGTTTAGTCTTTTCATAATTTGTGAGGTATTCCCTCGTTTTCAAGCATCACTTACAAAAAATTTTTAACATTCAAAGCATGAAAGTTCATTTTTTGAATTTTTAAATACTACTAAGTTTTTTTTTGTTGAAGATTACCTGACCTGTTATTGTGATTACTAGATACAGGGTGTTCGCGCACGTGGAAAGTCATGAATTTTGGTATTCAACAAAATTTGTCATGAAATGTCGTGATTTTAACTATTTTTGAAAAAAAATCATGAAAAGTCATGGATTTAGGTCGCCGAAAAATCTAATTTTTAAAATGGAATTCACCCCTCCCCCAATTTCATGGTGTTCCGAATATCTGAATTCGTAACAAAATCCCCACTCAGTCATGTTTTATTAAAATATAAAATGTTTTTATCTTGTTCTTTAAAAATTATGATGTTCTTTCAAAAAGTGAAAGAAAAAACCATTTCTAGAGTGAATTGTCTTTTAAACTTCTGTGATTTCAGAATTTTTATTATTATTTTTCATTTTATCAATTTAAAATTCTAGCTGAAGCAAGCCAGTCATTGACCAATTTTTTTAAATTCCAAAATGAGAACAGAAAAATCAGGAGTATTTCTTTCCGATGAACAAGTAAAGTAGCTTTAGATTATAATTCTGCAGAAAAAAAAAGAAGAAAAACTATTTGCTTTTGTATTTTTTTCCAGCTGTTTTATTGTTTCAACTCTTTTTTCTCTCTGTTTTCTAAATTTAAAATCTATAAATATGAAGATGCAGAGCGTAACTGTTTTGGTTATACCTATCATTTCAATTAATGTTATTATAATGCTTTTTAGATTTATTGTTCTGTTTTTGTCGGGAAAAAATAATAACTTCGTTAAGTTATGAAAAATTCTTGGAATTAGTCATGGAAAGTCATGAATTTGAAAATCTAAAATGTAGCAGATACCCTGTAATACCTGTTAATATGATTACTTATGAAATGCAATATGAATAACTTACCGTCATGATTACATGTTACTCGTAATCGATTATATTTTCTTTAACTGTGGGACAGAATAGTGGAAACTCGATGTTAAAAGTTATTTTGGTTGTCGAGAACTTTTTGTTTTGAAATTTCTTTTGCATCAGCAATAAATTAGGTGGAGCTTAGTTTGTTAAATATAAGAATTTTTACTTTATTTATTTTCAATAAACATAAGATGTCTATGCTAGCGAACACATTTATCATCTCTGTGGAGTGTTGTAATAGTCTTGGGAGTAATACCATTTTCAGGTTTTGCACAGAAAGAGCGATTCTTCTTAGTTCTTGGCCTAAAATGAAATGTTTCGCATATATTATTGATCATATACTANTTTTTTTTTTTTTAACTATTTTGTATTTAACATTAATTTTAAAATATAATCACAATTTAATCTCATTTTATTATAATGTAACTGTTCAAATAAAATTTAATGCTATATGAAATTTTAGGAAAAAATTATTTAATTGAAATTCTTGTTTAATTACAAAGGAATCTATTTTCATTTTAAAGGCATTTTTGCTGCTTTTAAGGGCGTATTCAGTTTTTTTTATTTAAATCATCAAAATCTGGGCTCTATTTATTGCTATTTCAAGTGAAAAAGTGATTACAAGTAGTCTCTTTTATATAACGGAAGAATTAATTTTACTTCCATTGAGAAATTGCTACTATTCTGTTTCGAAGGGCCGTGAAAACTATTATCAAAGTATCGATATTACCCACACAATTAATTAAGCATAATTGTAAATAATCATTTGCTGGCTGATTTTTTTACAACGCCGCGAAACGGAATAGTGCTGAAAAGTATTGAATATGAACTGTTTAGTCTTTTCATAATTTGTGAGATATTCCTCCGTTTTCAAGCATCGCTTACAGAAATTTTTTAAAATTCAAAGCATGAAAGTTCATTTTTTGAATTTTTAAATATTAAGATTTTTTTTTTAAGATTACCTAACCTGTTATTGTGATTACTAGATACCTGTTATTATGATTACTTATGAAATGCAATATGAATAACTTACCGTCATGGTTACGCGTTACTCGTTAACGATTACATTTTCTTTAACTCTGGGATAGAATAGTGGAAACTAGATGTTAAAAGTTATTTTGGTTGTCGAGAACTTTTTATTTCGAAATTTTGCGTAACCAATAAATTAGGTGGAGCTTAGTTTGTTAAATATAAGAATTTTTACTTTATTTATTTTCAATAAACATAAGATGTCTATGCTAGCGAACACATTTATCATCTCTGTGGAGTGTTGTAATAGTCTTGGGAGTAATACCATTTTCAGGTTTTGCACAGAAAGAGCGATTCTTCTTAGTTCTTGGCCTAAAATGAAATGTTTCGCATATATTATTGATCATATACTACATTTATATACACATGCATATTAGTTCATAGTATAGATAAAGTATCGATCAAACAATTACAGATTTATGCTCATTGGAAAAGTGACATTCCGCACTTAAAAGATTATTTTGCTGTTTTCTGTTTGGTTCATTCAGTTGTGAGTTACAGGTTGTCAAAAATGGAAATCAACAAAGAAAAAATTCGATACATTTTAGTTCTTCTTTGATAAAGGCAAAAATGCAAGCCAGGCAGCTGAAATTATCAGTGGTGTTTATGGTCCCAATACTGTTACAGCCAATTCTGTGCAATTTTGGTTTTGTCGATTGCTTTCAAGTATTTTTGATGTTGATGTAACGCATACAGTCAAAAAGCCCGTTGTCGAAAATGTTCATAAAATCTCCGAAATGATCCATCTTTACCGGTACCCACGAGCTGAAGATCGATCATAAAACAGTTTTAAATCATTTTCACAAAGCTGGATTCAAAAAGAAGCTTGATGTTTCATTGCTGCACCAATTAACATTAAAAAAACATGATGAATCGAATTTTCATCTGCGTAGCCAAGCCTTGGCCAAACAGAATGAAATCGATCCTTTTCTAAAACGGATCACATGAGACAACATTATGCAAAAACGATCGTGGTCAAAACGCAGTGAAGCGGTTCAAACGGTGGTCAAACCAGACTAATGGCCAGTTCTGTGGGACTGAAAAGGAATCATTTATGATGTGTTACTTCCATAAACAGCCAGACAACTCCGTCACACACTTCTCTAGTGATTCACCAGAAATTCCGGGAGCTTGGCTTGATTGAGAAATTTTGATGCATCCATCACATAGTCCAGACCTGGCACCAAGCGATTACAATATTTTTCTTGCATTGCGAAAATTTCTTAGTGATAAGAAATTGTCATTAAAAGAAGATTGCAAAAATCGATTACTAGATTTTTTCGTCAATAGGAACCAAGACTTATATGAGAGAGGAATTATTAGGCTACTTGTAAAAAGCTAACAAATTATATAACAAAACCTTACATATACACACACACACACATACAAAGGCTTAAGATTAAAAATAATATGCAAAACTTTATTCCACACACAAAATAATTTTATTCTATTATTTTCCTCTTTTAATTGAAAAATTTAGGACAAAACTCGATTTATATTTAAAATCAAATCTCGTAATATATCAATCTTCCTGCAAATCTATATAATTTTTTAAATTAGTAGGTATTTGTAATTCATGAATTCCACAGGGCAACTGCCAGTTGTTGTTTAATGCTTTCCTCACTTCTAATTTGCTAGCGTGCTTTAGTGTTAAAGGATTACAAAAGCTTCTATGTATTCCTGATATAAAAGTTTCGATCTTGCGCAAAATCAGGATTATTTCCCTCTTCGCATATATCTTCCCACTCTTGTCCAGAAGATATCTGGTTTTTAAAAGTGGCATATCTCTAAGAATCAAACGTCCGCATTTAACCAGGAGTTCGCAATCGCTACGACTTCTATCATCCAGGTCTAGCAGCGCTTTCATTTCTGGATTAAATTCTTGAAAATAGTTGATTAGAAGAGATATTATATCAGCGCAAAGTCTGGTACTTGGACATGGAAGAGACCGGAACATCCACTGTTGTCTAACTTTTTCACCATAACCATCGAGATACGAATACAAGGCACCATACCTGAGCAGACAATGCATCAATTTGGGTGATTTGAAATAAAGTGCTAATTCAACTGGCGCAAAGAAATTTATATTACTACATGACGGTAGGCAGACCAATCGGTACCCACGGAATAGTGATTTCTGTTTGTTTGTATGGTCCAACATGAATTCGAAAATGGACTTGTTAGGAAACGCAGACGCGCTCAAGTTTAATATAAAAAAAGTGTTGCCATCGTTTTCTATCAGAGATTGGAGTAATTGGACGATAAAATCGCTGTTTTCTTCTTTTGATTTATAAGATTCTTCAATTATGTAATATAATATCCAGCTCAAGCTTACTAAATTGCTAGCTGGGTCTGCAAACGTTGTTCGGAGATTTCTATAAAGCTGGAAAATCGTCTGCAGTTCTGTGGAATTTAAAGTTTTATCTTGGTTGCTAGATATGAAATCTTCAATATCGGACACTAAATTTTGTCTCATGTGGTTTAATTCAAATATTTCATTATCCATTTTATGAAATTGTTATGGAGAAGTAAATTTATAGTACTTTTCATTCGATTTTGTTTTTGTCATACGACAATGTTATTTCGTTTATGTTTAAATTTTATGATTTGTATTTACATCTTGTTTGCTTAAGCTAACTTAATTTTTATACACACATATAAGCTCACCGGGCAAAAAATTAGTCAACTTAGTACGCAAGCACCGATGAATCGTTAGGTTTTGTTAGATGACGCGGTGGTCAAGTGCATGCACACTGCTTCAATGTGATGAAACACAAGTAGCTCTGAGGGAGATATTTTTGTTTGAAGCGGAAATGGTGTGTAAATACGGGTAAGAGTAAAGATGTGATAGAGTGGCAAAAAGGGGCAATTGTGTTTGGTCGTGCCAATGGTCATATGGTGAATGAAGTTGCTGGATTTGTTGGCGTTTCAAAGCGGACTGTTCAACGTGTGTACAAAGCAGTGGTGTAATACACGTGGTCACGAAACACGTCGTCAGAATTGTGGTCGGAAAAAGATCCTGCATGAAAGTGACCGGAGACGTGTTTCACGACTTGTCAATCAAAATTGCTTCCAAACTGGACAGGAATTGCTTCAGTTAGTAAATGAAGATGAGAAAACATTGCGAAGGGAACTGCATTCAATGAACACTTGGAGTCGAACATGTTGTAAGAAGCCATTGCTCACACGGGAACTTAAAGCTGCGCGACTTCAGTGGGCTAGCAGTCACCAAACGTGGACAGTTGCTGACTGGCGGAATGTAATATGGTCTAACAAATGACGTTTTTGCCTTTATTCAAAAGACGCACGTCGTCGAGTACAACGAAGAGCAGATGAAGCATTTCATCCTGATGTGTGCAAGCTCAGATTCAAGCCGGAGGTGGGTCTGTCATATTTTGGGGGCGTTTTTCTTATGGATTGGGCTCCCTCACTGAGGTGGCCACTAATATGATCCAACATATTTATTTGAACTTTCTGGACAATTAGATGTTGCCTTCCAGTCAACATATTCATAAAGTGTGTGTTGTGGATGCCCCTATTTTTCAAGATGACAACAACAAAGTTCATGGGGCTGGAAGAATATGTGTCTGGTTTTATGAACACTCAGACACTCAATTACCTCTCTGCTGGCTTGCAAAATCACCTGACTTGAACCTCATTGAAAATTTGTGGGACATGTTGGAAAAACGGGTAAAATGCCGAAGTCAGAATCCTCGCAATTTGGTGAATTTGCTCTATCAAATCCTCAACGAGTGGCTCAAACTGGATTCGGCGTACCAGCAAAACCTCGTGGACTCGCTTCCTAACCGAATCCGGGCGGTTATCAAATCCAGAGGCAATGTTACACGTTATTAAATGATATTTTTCATGATTTCCCTAAAGGTGACTGCTTTTTTGTCCGGTGTGCTTATAAATTTCAAGCGAAATTAAAATGAGAGAAGAGTTAAACTGAAAGAGCCTTTTTGCAGATCGGACGAGATAGCAAAAACTATTTGTGGCGACCTTGGCTTACCACAGGCTGTAGTGCCTCGAAAGAAGAAAATAGGACACTAAGATGATGTTATGAACTAGTAATGAAGAAAATAGGACGCTAAGATGATGTTATGAACTAGTAAAGTGGAAGCTATGTGAAATCATATGTTTAGTTTCTTGATAGTTGCTCTTTTTATAACGCATTATTATTAACATTTTGTATATAGAAGGAACAAATAAAAAAAATTGAAGTTAAAGTTAAATTTATTAGCAGGTAAAGTTAAATTTATTAACTTTACTTGAACCAGATAAATATAAAAGGTGATTTTCAATAATATGTATAATCTGTTAATAAAGAAAAAAAGCTGTTTGTTTAATAAACAAATGGCTTTCTATACAAATACTAGGACTGGAAACATCGTTAAATATCGAACTAACGCATGCATCAACGCACCAATAAAGCGTTGCCTGCGGTTTATTTTTTATTTCTTCTTAACCGAAGTATATTTTTCATATGTGAAGTATATATATGTATGAATTTTCGTAGTGGATAAAGTAAGGCTGGCATAATATTAATTTTATAATTACACCATACGCAGTTCACGTGAGTTATAAAAGGCAAACAAAATCATTCAGTTTAAAGGGAAGAAAAAAGTTCAACCATCAATTTCCAATAGTTAGCTCAGATCAGTGAGATTTAGTCAGACAGATAAAATTTAAAAGCAGCCTTTAACAAATTATTTTTATACAGATTAGATTAAAAAATAATAATAAAAAAAAAACTGAAAATGTCTGAAAAAGAAGAAAGCTCAGAAAATAAAGAAAGCGAAGCCTCGGCGAATTGGAAATTACATGATACTTATGATCCTGGCGTCAGTTTCACTAGAATTGTGACTCGCTCTCAAACAGCCTTCTGTAGACTGGATAACTCGGAGTCGGACCTTGAACTGTTTTGTGATCCAGAAAGACATCAACCCCCAGATAAGCCCCATTTGATGGAAACATTGAAAGGAAAGTATGGTGCTATACCGAACACCATCATCACCAGCAGTACTGCAAAACATTTGAGTAAATCGGAGGACTTGATAAAAGCAGTAGATGAATACAAGACACCACCCAAAATAGATGAAGAAAAAGAAGATAAATCTAAGGATGAGAGAGCTAGGGGATGATTTTGGGAAGAAAAATCAACGTAATCATTTAATGGAATCCGTTATTCTAAGATTATATTGTTTTCGAAAATCGTTTTGTTTAAGTAGTGAAATCCTATGGTACTTTTCCATTTCTTTGGAGCAAATAAACTCATCTAGTTTATTTATTTAATTTTCTTTTAATAGTCTTAACCTAAAAAATATTTTTATGAAAAAAAATAACGGTTCCATTTACGTGAGCCTTTTGACTTTGCATTGGCGATTTTATCGCCATCGCCGGTGAAATTAAAAAGCACAAATCTTTTTTCTAAGTATTTAAAATAAACAATTTCGTAAGTGAACGTTTTATTTTTAAATGCTTTAGTTAAGTTTTCAGGAGTTTTTTTTAGATTATGAAAGTTATTTGTTCAATTAATTTGTTTAGTAGTATTTTATTATTTTTATTTCGTTAGTTTTTATTTGGATTTTCTTATACGACTACGACAGTATGTAATTTGCTGAAAATTTAAGACACTAATTAAGTTAGTTAATTGTAAAATATTATATCTGATCTATGTAGATTACGTCTGGTGTAAATTCTTTAAAAATAAATTCAATTAATTAATTTATTTTTGTCAGTCTTTACACTTTAAGTGTCAATTAAAGAGGACTGTGGTGATTTAGTATCGTCACTTTAAAACTATAAATGACGATTTATGTTTCACATGATTTAAGCTCATAATTCTGGTAACTTTTTAAATTTTTTTAAGGAAATATTAATTAGTAGATAAACTATTGGAGAAAATTTATTGTATAAAAGTCTAATATCTAAGCATTTTGGCATATTAAATCGCTGAAAAAATGTTTTGAATTCCCAAACTTGTTTATCAAAGAGAACGTGATTTTTTAGACTTGTGATAATGATGCTCATTTTATATTTGTGTCTAGAGTTTTTTATTATTGGCTAATGGTGTAATTCCAGACTAAACAATTAAATGTTTAAAAAAGCTGTTTATTAGTTAAAACTATAATTAATACTCTGATCTTGTGGCCCTGTTAATTTAATAAATTTTATTAGCCAATATAATATATTCCAGTGATTGTATGTACCTTGAAAAACATTTTGTTTTCTTTTCATTCCTGGTGTCGAAACCACCAGGAATATGAGGAATAAGTTGGAACTAAAATAAGTTCGCCCAAATTTCCAGCTCAAATAAGAAAACAAGTTTTTTTCCCTCACATTTTTAGTGTTATTTAAATTCATTCATTAAATTAATAGCGTCAGTACAAGGAGACACATTATCGATCAATTGACCAGTAAGGAACAACATGTAGTTCTCAAAAATAACTACTTGTGGTGTTACTTATTTTATAATCCTTTAAACGGGTAAAGCGATGTTAGAAATTATCCTTACCGGTGTCATTAAATTAATAAGTTTATAAAAACACGTTGCCTCACATAATCCTATATCAGGGGTCTGTCTAGGTTTTTCTGAGAGGTGCCTATTTTGTGAAAATTTAGACATAATTTGTGAAAAATTAAAAACTATATTAAAAATTCAACACAAAAATATGGATTTATCGTTTCTTAAGGAATACAAAAATAAAATTATAAGAAAAAGTATTTTGTGAAACTACTGTTTTTTCTTAAGTTGAATTTGTGAAGGTACCGCTAAACGGTAGTAAATTCGGCCTAGNATAATGATGCTCATTTTATATTTGTGTCTAGAGTTTTTTATTATTGGCTAATGGTGTAATTCCAGACTAAACAATTAAATGTTTAAAAAATGTTTATTAGTTAAAACTATAATTAATACTCTGATCTTGTGACCCTGTTACTTTAATAAATTTTATTAGCCAATATAATATATTCCAGCGATTGTATGTACCTTGAAAAACATTTTGTTTTCTTTTCATTCCTGGTGTCAAAACCACCAGGAATATGAGGAATAAGTTGGAACTAAAATAAGTTCGCCCAAATTTCCAGTTCAAATAAGAAAACAAGTTTTTTTTCCCTCACATTTTTAGTGTTATTTAAATTCATTCATTAAATTAATAGCGTTAGTACAAAGAGACACATTATCGATCAATTGACCAGTATGAACAACATGTAGTTCTCAAAAATAACTACTTGTGGTGTTACTTATTTTATAATCCTTTAAACGGGTAAAGCGATGTTAGAAATTATCCTTACCGGTGTCATTAAATTAATAAGTTTATAAAAACACGTTGCCTCACATAATCCTACATCAGGGGTCTGTCTAGGTTTTTCTGAGAGGTACCTATTTTGTGAAAATTTAGACATAATTTGTGAAAAATTAAAAACTATATTAAAAATTCAACATAAAAATATGGATTTATCGTTTCTCAAGGAATACAAAAATAAAATTATAAGAAAAAGTATTTTGTGAAACTACTGTTTTTTCTTAAGTTGAATTTGTGAAGGTACCGCTAAACGGTAGTAAATTCGGCCTAGACAGACCCCTGACATGTTGTTAATTCCTAACAATAAAAATCTATCACAATTGTAATTCTTAAAAATTTAATAATTAATAACGGTACTAATATTTTTATAATTATTTTTTCCGAACTTAGTGTCGCTGTACTGCAAACTCCTTTTAACAGATATTCCCGCTAAATTTGTATTTCGTATGTAACCTCCATTTTATTTTATTTGTTTTGTTATTTGATGCACTTTTCGGTGACTTAATATTAGATTTGCTATACACAGAGTTAGTGGAAGTGATGCAATGGCTTATAGCTAACACTAGATTGTTAAGGTTTAGCGTAAGGTTTTTTTAATAAATTGATATTTGGCACGTACCTTCAATTTTAATTTTATAATCAGGGCAATTCCATATGTGACGGAATGACATTTTGACTTGCATGATGACAATTAATTGAAGTTTCTATGCATCTAATTTCAAANAAAAAGTATTCATCCCAATGCAATTAGATGAGAAATTTAAAGTGTAGAAATTACTTGTAAGGAGTAACTGTTTTTCAAGGGCAGAATAAAACCCTCTCCATTCTGCGTTTCGAGAATTTGCTTTACAGCTTAATAACTAGATGCAAGGAGAAGAAGATTTACAGGGATTGAATACAGCTCATTACGACTCGATCAAATTTTTTTTTTTTACTGTTCGTAATTACATGTAAAGAGTAACAGCTTTACTGAGATAGACTTTAATAAATTGGTTGCATTTAGAGGAAAAATTTAATTTGCTGTTTAGTAATGACCTGTTTGGAAAATGGCTTTTGCAAGGGCAATATATAACACAGAAGATTTAGAGTTGAATTTGAACATCTGAAGTGTATTATTTCGTAATAAAATATATAAAAAATTTTCTTTAGTAAAATTCAATGAAATTTTAATTTTTCAAGTAATTTAAAAATTATAAATGACAGTTCATAATAATATAGCGCATTTTTTATATTAAACCTAAGTCAGCTTCAAGGATTTACAAAAATACGCGATATATATATGGGTGATTCTCACGAAATATGACAATTCACTGTCCCTTGCTCCAAGATCTAATACTAAAATAACTTTTTTTTAAAAAAAAAATTATTATATTGCTTTGCTGTTAGCATTTTAAAATGACTTTGCACTAGCATTGACTATTTTGTATAGTTAAAATATTTAATTGAACTTCGAAATTCCATTTTCCTGGCATGTCCCAAACAATGTTTCCAATAATAACTAGCATCAAAACTTCCCATATATTTTTCAATATCTAATTTTTTTTTATCTCAACCGGTGTAAGCATTTCCAGAATATACGCAGAGGGTATTGTTTACAAAAACTTCGTTCAAAAATTTTTTTTCTGTCAATAATTTCTTTGTCCCAAGAAAATCTGTCATTTTTCTGGCTACTCTTATTTAGTGGTTTACAACCAAAATAAATAGAGTCAGCAATCAATATCTTAAGTTAATAGATTTATTAGGTACCCTCCTATATGAACATGTCTTGTTGCAGGAATAAAGAATCAATTTTCTGGTTCAAAATCTATTTCAAAATTTTTTTCAAGATGAGTAGGTTTTTGTGTTGTCATTTTCCTGGCTTCTTGAANAATTCAATGAAATTTTAATTTTTCTAGTAATTTAAAAATTATAAATGACAATTCATAATAATGTAGTGCATTTTTTATATTAAACCTAAGTCAGCTTCAAGGATTTACAAAAATACGCCATTTATATATTTATGAATTAAAAAATTACAATGAATGTTTTGCTGTACTTTTCTTATTGTCTAATTGTTAAAGTAATGATTTTAAAGTTTTTAGCGAAAAATAAACCTATTATTGCATTTGAAGAAAAATTGAAATTTTTACTTTTATAAAAAAAAGCTATTTTTTATATAATTTTTTTTTTTATTAATCAACATTACACAATGGATTCCACTTGCTGTAATAAGAGTAAAAACAATTTTATATTTTACATGGATTATAATTAAAGAATAAAAATGACATGACAAATTAATTAATTATAAGCATTTTTTAAATGGCACTATAAAGATTCGGTTTGAGTGTGAAAAAATATTCCTGATTTTTTCAAATATTTCTGTCAATATTTTGAATTATTTTTTTTGTAATTCTCCAATATGTTCTGGTATCACGGCTACATCTTTTTAAAAAAATGAACTATTAAATTACTAAACGATATAATTGTTTTAATATTATATTTGCTCGTTTTATTTTTAAAATAAAATTTTAACTTTGAAATATTTTTGACTTTCTGATTTTACTCATGCTTTATTGGGGAATAAAATTTACTTTTAAAGTGTCGAGATCGTTAAAAGTCAGTTAACTAATTTAATTCTCTCATTAAATTATTGAATTTTTTTCACATATTTATTTTACAGGATCATTTGAGGATATAAATATATGCTGTTTACTTACGATTTTTCGATGACATTCATTGGAATAACAGTGACATATTCAACGTATAGTTTAGGTTTGAAGATCATTTTGATTGGATTGTTAGATGAGCTGAACCACTTCAAAGTAACACTCTTGATTTCACCCAAATCTCTCTCTGTTGTTACCAAATATTGGTATCTTGCACCATGGAAAAATTCGGTTGCTCTGTCAATAAAGAAATTAAAATTATAATTAATTCAAGTAGTAATTCAAAAATGAAGTAAAGCTTATTATGCCGGATTAAAGTAAAAGGGAAGGGTATCAAAATATACAGTTTGCTACATTCTGCTAAAAAGAAACTAGCTTAGTTATTGTCATCAAATGTCAACAAATGGCTGAGAAACTATGAAACATTGTTTTCTGTCTGCTACCAGACCATTCCATTAAAAATATTTACAAAGGTATTAGTTAATTTTGTTCTCAGAAAACGTTAGATAAGCAAATGGCGGTAAGTTTGTAAACATTATTCTCCAGTTTTTTTATTTTATTTTATTTATTTATTTTATTATTTTTTTTTTTAAATAATATGTTATCGCTGGTTTCAAAATAACAGATTTGTTTTTTCCCTCGTGTAGCAAATTATTTTATGATACTGAAAATAATTGCCATCTCAGAATTGTTCAGGAAACGAGGAAATTTAAATTAATATTAACTTTTACATGTATATATCTGTCATGGGAGGGAGAAAGTACTGGGAGGAGATATATAAGGAAATAGAACACCATTAGAAGCAAGAGAGTTCTAGAAGGTAATGAAGAACGCTGGAGGGTAGTTCTCTCCCAGAACTCACACTTGCGATGAAACGGAGAACTTGTTGATGATAATACTAAAATACTAAGGAGTTGGATGATTTCAAAAGGACTCGTGTAGGAAAAGATACTTTAGAGGGAATAGAGGAAGATATAATCAGGACTCCACAAGACGAGGAACTAGAACCACCATTCTTGGATGAAGTTGAAAGAGCAATAAATAAACTAAATAACAACAGTTCGACAGGACCGGATGACATCAATGACAAGCTCCTGAACATAAAGGAGCCTAAACTTATCAAAGAAATACACGCCATTATAGTTCATGTGTATGGCGATTGGTTAAAATGCCCATTGAATGGGAAGATAGTTCCATCTGTCCAATGTACAGAAAAAGGAGGCAGACTGGACTTTAAGAACTATAGAGGAATTACTCTCTTGAACCTATCATACAGATATTGACTAACATCCTGGCCGAAAGACTTGTCCCTTATAGTACCTGCAAAGTAATTGGAAAATAACAGTGTGGATTTCAAAAAGTCTGAACAATGACAGATCAAATACACAGCATTACTTGAGAAGACCAGAGAATATAAGATAGATACATTTCATCTCTTTATTGACTTTAGAATAGCTTATGATAGCATCAATACACAGAAATTGTATCAGACAATGTCAGAGTAGGGAATCTCTAACAAACTGGTTAACCTCATATGAATGACATTTAATAGAGTAAAATGTAGAGTGAAGTTGTAATCAGAAGTATCAGATGCCTTTTATACTGAAACAGGGTCACTCCCTGTCATGTTATATGTTTAATTCAGCACTGAAGAAGACATTTAGAAACTCGTGTACAAATGCAGCACACATTTTTTTGTTAAATTTGCACAACTGCTAGCATTTGCGGACGATATTAGAAGAACTAGGGCAGCTACTGTAGAGGTTTTCTGCGCACTCGAGGGAGCAGCAAAAAACATACAGTTGTCAGTCAGCGATGAAAAAACTTAATTCATGGCAATAACAAACAGAATCACAAATCTGCAACCACTGAAAACTAATGAATATGATTTTGAAAAATTAGCTCAATTTAAGTATTTAAGCACTATAGTAAATACTAATAATGACATAAAAATTGAAATAAGAAATTGAAATGCATTGAGAAACCACTTCAAATCTAAATACATAAGTTGGGAAACAAAAATACAGTTGTACGAGACACTAGTGAGAGCAGTAGTTTTATATGGTTGCGAATGCTGGGTTATTAGTAAAGCGAACAAAGAAAAACTGGTGACTTTCGAGAGAAAAATATTAAGAAATTTTTTTTTGGCTCAGTAATAGAAAACGGAACCTAGAGAATTGGCTAAAACCATGAATTACAATCAAAATCAAAATACAAAGAATCTAACAAAGTAAAAATGATCAAGCTTTCTCAAATAAGGTGGGTAAGACATGTATTTCGATAAGCCATGTAAATCCTATTTAAAAAATAACCTTCCAAACGCCAGAGGGAAAAAGAAAAAGAGGAAAACCTAGAACAAGATGGTTGGATAGAGTAGAGAAGTAGTTAAAGGACTTGGGACTTAACAGATTGAGAAATATAGCATAGAATAGATCTAGATTGGGTAACCTGACTGAGACGGCCTTGACTGCTAACAAACTGCAGTGCCTCAGAAGAAGAAATATGTCACGAGCAATTTTCTTCCTAATCAATTTAAAATTGATTAGAAAGAATCGCTTAATTTGAAAAAAGTAAATAATTATTTTTTTCTTAATTTAGCGCATATTTTTATAAATATTTGGTAACATTTGTTTGAAAATTGACTCGTTATTTCTATAGCAGATCCAAAAATGCTACTGGTACATCAATTGGCAGTCATAAATCTCTAGGATACGGATGTTATTTTATGACAAAGTTTCTACTCGACTCCCAAGTGAATGGCAGTCTTTTGACTGTTATAGAAAGTATTAAAGCAAATTTTTAAAATTATTTTCCAAAATGTCTCTTTTTATTAAACTGACATTAAATTTTGTATTGTGAAAAATGCATTTTACCTCGAAAATGTTTCCCTTTTTGTTAAAACTTAAGCCCTTTTCTACGTTGCTCACGATTTGTATTGACTTGTAATCAAACTCAGTTCACCTTATTTACACTAACCTCCCTTAAGATATATTTTTAGATTCATTGTCTCTAATGAGGTAAAAAATCAAACTCATTGGGTAGCTTAAATTAATATTTTATTTTTTATTAATATCAATAAACATTATCGAAATCTGTCAAATTATTATAGAAGAAGACGGGACTTAAAACATCGAAACTTGTTAGTTTGCCTAAGGAAAAAGAAAGAAGTTGAAATGTGATTATTAGAAGCACCTACTGTCTCATCACGCTATCAAAATAGCTTTACCGCTCTCCATCTCGCCTTCTTCCCTAGTGTTTCGACTGTGGCCCAGAGGATAAAGCCTTCACCTCCCATTTAGATATTATTTAGATGTTATTCCCATTTAGATATCCAGGTTTGAATCCTAGCGATAGCTGATCGATTAGAATTCTGCTCCCAGCTCGCACTGACAGTGATGCTGACGTAAATTATCCTCAGTGGTGGACGGATAACGGGTTAGAATCCTCTTGCCATTGGTTTAACCGTGAGAGATTTTCGTGGTTTTCCTATCCATGTAACGCAAATGTGAGGTTAGTTCCATTGAATTGTTCTCCACAAAGGATAGCTAGCTGCTTGATCTAGGAGTTTCCTAGTCTTCTGGGTTGGACTCAAAATTACAAAGCTATGAATTGAAACATAGATAGTAGTAAATTAAAAAAAGCTGCTGGACGCTAGTTATAAAATCAATTCTCGATAGCATTATTGTTTATTTATCGTTTAAATATGTGTGACCCGTAATATGCATACTTTTTTTTAAAATTTAATTTTAAACAAGGATTCTAAATATATGTATTTATGAGCAGTACTTATGGAACATTCTGGAAAACTTTTCGAAGAAATTAATTTATTAGCATCATATGAAAAACCAAAATAATTTCGACATAAGCGCATATATGAGCTTGTTAAAACACAATTGCTTATAATACCAATGGATTAACATGACGATTTTAACTTTTTGTTATCGTTATTACTAGCTGAATGCCCATTCTTAAGGGTTAAGAAAAGTCAAGACTAACGTTTTAACTTCCATTTTGCTTTTGCTTACGTGACGTAAGAAATCAAAAATAAATAATTTATTGAAGAACGTGTAATGTGTTTGTAACATTGCCTAATGCTAAACCTTAGAAAAAAATTTATTTTTCAAGCAATCCTCATGAACGGATTAATTTAAATACACTGCTCAAAACAATTAAAAGTATTGAGATTATTGGTTGATCTTGCACCCGGAGAATTGTTTGAATGATTCATACGTTAAAGCCAGACATAGTAGGCTATATGAGATACAAATGACATTTGTATGGCAGAAAAAATGCGTTTTATTGAGCATTTGGGTACAAAAGAAAGAAAAAAAACTTAATTTGTGCATATGAGAAAAACAAATGAAAAAAAAAAAGACGTTTCCTTAAAAGAAAATCGTTTTTAATAGGGTGTATGGTTTCCCCAGACGGCCAGCAACGTTGAACACCTTTTAGGCATCGTGTCAATAAGTTTATTAATGAGGGACTGGGGTATTCTGGCTACTTCTCCAGAACAGCTCTTTCCAGTTCTTGGAGAGTTTGTGAGGCCGGCAGTCGTTCAGCAAATCATCTGCTTAGAATGACCCAAACATGGGTTCATGTTCGGAGAACACGTTGGTCAATTCATTCGTATGATTCCTTCCTCCATAAGGAAATCATTGATCATGTTAGCACGATGTGGCGTGCAATTGTCGTCCATTAACATGAAGTCATCTCCAATTGCTGCAGCGTAAGGGACTACTATAGGTATCAGGATATCATTCCTGTTTCGCGATCGGTCAGAGTTCCACTTCGAATGATATAGAGATCGGTGCGCAGATAAATGGAGATGATGCCAGCGTAAGCCATCATTCCCCCACCTCCAAATCTTAGACTTTCGTGCACTAACGCAGGATTGTTTTTAGTGCCACGTTGCCTTCAGATGAAAATGCGCTTATTTTTAGGTTGAACAAAAAAATGGACTCGTCAGAGAAAATAATTTTGCGTTATTAATTTCTTCTCCAGTTCACATGCTCTGTTGCCCATTCCCTGAGAGCGCGACGGTGCCTTGCTGTTAACGTGATTCATATCATTGGTCGGCGAGCATGTAGACCTACAGCGTGAAGGTGGTTTTGGACAGTTTGTGTCGAAACTGTGGGGCCAGTAGTCGAGCTAAGGTATTGTTGATGAAGAGTGGCATTCATATTTCGGTGTCTCCGAGCCGTTAGCGTTAACGGTCTTCATCGGGCGTTATTGCACGTTTCCGCCTTTGTCCTGATCTTCGGCCTGCATTTCCAATCTTCAAAAAACTGTTTCAGATCCTGGAAATCACACTTTGTGATGCTCCAATCGCTTCTGCTACTTCGGCTTGTGCTCCCGTCCCCCGCTAACGGGCCGACAACTCTCCAAGCTTCTGATTCCGTTAAATGACTTCGTTGAGACATCGCACTCATCGAAACAACGCGCTTACTGAACGTCGATCATTCTTTTCCGCTTTGTCTTACATTAATTTTTGTAGTACATTTACGTCGCACTAGAGCTGCACAATGGGCTATTGGCGACGGTCTGGGAAACATCCCGGAGGATGATCCGAAGACATGTCATCACAATTTTGATCCTCTGCTGAGGGGATGGCACCCCGTTTCTGTAGCCCGTCGACCTGCACGCGAAGTTGAGCACTTTACGGTAGAACAGTTTAACGAGGACCAATACCACCCACCCTCCGTCACTACATAGACTAATCCAAGCGGTCACCCACCCGCACACTGACCGCAGCCAGTGATGCTTGACTTCGGTGATCTGCTGGGAACCGTGTTTTAACGATCAGTCCACTGCGGGACCTTTGTCTTACATTAAGTTGAAAACCAAATCAAATTAGCTGCCGCTGAAGCGTCGTTTTCGTCATCAAACTCAAAATTTGCATACTGCAAAGCACTTGTGACTCTCTTCCATTTAATGCAAAAATAAATAAATAAAGCTTATACCGTTATTTTATACAAGACTTACAATATCCTTTAATTGTTTTTAGCAGTGTATTTAAACGAGTTTTAGTACAGGGGGATAAAAATTTTCCTTGCACCCGTTGTTTAAATTTCAGCACGCTGTACAAAGAGTTCTAGAGTTACGCTCACTTCTCTTTTCCGCATTATTATAGTTTAATTTTAAAGTACCTCTTAAAAATATTTATTTTTTTATTATGAGCAGTTTGAAAAATTATGGCTTGTAAATAGTGTTAGAAAATTAATTCTTCTTAGGCGCAAATTTCTACTTACTTTTGCTGTATATGAGCCAGTTCATCACCTTTGGATCCAACAAGGGTGATATCCATGGTACCTTCCACATCTTTATAGGATGCTTTTGGCCTATAGAGCTTCACTGTTACTTGATAATGGTAAACTGTGTAATAAAAACAATATTATTACTACTATTTTATTTTGATGTTTAAAAACAATTATAAAAAAATAACAATTGCTTTTTAGATATTAAATCGGTAAAAATTAAACATTCTTCTGACTTTTCTTATTTTAAAAAATAAAGTTAATAACATTTTGAAAAATTTGTAAGATAGAATTTTTTTTTTAAATGATGAATCGAAGAATACCTAAATCAATCATTAAAAATTAACAGTCTGTTTTTTGAAAATGCTAGGCTGTTATTCTAATCGTCTCCGTTTATAATAGTTAAGTAAAGTAAAACAAACTGCATCATTAAGTTGAACAACCCAAATCCGTGAATTTTACGCTTTCTTAATATGGAAAGAAATGAGAAAAATAACTACTGAAGAAGGTGGGACGGAAAATATTCAAATCTGTTTGATTACCTATGGCAAAGAGAGGAGTTTAAAGGTGATAATTTAAAACACATCCATTCAAACTAGTTTTGGTGTGTTTAGTCCCGTTTTCTGCAGTAGTGATTCACTAGGTTTTCAAAACGTTTTCAGTATATATATATATTTTTTAAGTTCCTTCACTGCCAACCGGCCTGTGTAGGGGGCAGGGAACTGTCTTTGCATCAGAAAGGTCCTGGGTTCGAATCCCGGGCAAAGCATGGATGTTTCTTTCTCTCTCTATGTGTTCTATGTCCTTTCTCCTTTGCGTGTAAATGTGACCCGCCCTATAAACGGGTTGTTCTTGTGTGAATAGCGTGGCAGAAGTCGAATTCCTGGCCATAGATGGCGCCACTGAAAAACAGGAACAACCGCACCCCCGCTGCCTAAAACAGGCATACGACAAAAAAAAAGCTTCCTTCACTTAAATTTTGGTTTGAGATTTCTAATATGTATGTTCAATGGGGTTTTTTACAACGGTTGTAGAACTATTTAAAGGGCAGTCATTACAGGACATCCTGTATTTTTGCATTGATATGGTCGGTTGTTCAATTTGTTAATTTATTTACTTGTATACAAGAAATTTTTAATTTAAATAGAATCGTAAGACTGCCTTTTTTCAATTTCGAGCTTTCAATAATGAAGCATAAAAATTCCAGGCATAAATTTTTGGTGATATTTCTTTAATATTTTTTTATATGATTAATAATCTCCCAGTTTATTCCACTACATTTTTAGTTATGTGCAAAACTACTAACCAAAATATGCAAATTGGGCGCATCAATAAATAAAATGTTCGTTTGAGAGACGCAAGTTATTTTGTCATTAATTCTTAATTAACAGGGATGATGAAAAAAAAAGAAAGAAAAAAAAACCTCGCAGAGAGAGTGGTATTTTGAGAACACCCTGTATAGCTTTCTCATTCAGTTCAATGAGCACAATTTATAATAATATAAAGAATGTAGCCAAATATTTACGCCAAAAGGGAGATTTGCCGGATGTTTGGAGATACATATTTCGTTGAACTGAGGAATTTCTGAATTCATAGTACTCATCTGCCCTGATTCCCATGATGGCGCATCTCTTGGTGTCTGGTCCACATTCAGCGCATTTACCAGCTAAAAAGTCGTTCCATGAGGTGCATTCATACCCTACTGGTACAACTTTTCTGTAGTTAATGGAATGATAGAAGAAATCAAGAGATCGTTGATGGTTGCAACTTACGAAACGTCTGGCGCCTGAAATAAAAGCACGATCAATAAAAATCAAAATGGTTTATTGATTAATAAGACATGCATTGTTACGCATACTTAGATGCATAGTGTTAACGTAAAGGATTCATCCGATTCTAAAGGACTGATTATTTACGTTGCCACATACACAAAAACAGGTGATACATTCAAAGATACATATACCTCAACAAGTGTCTAGTACGTTCTTCAAGCATTCCCAAGTAACCCAGCTCTGTCTTAGCTTTTATTTTTGTCATATGACAGTATGCATCTTTTAAAAAAAATTTGTTTTCCAAAATAAGAAATAGTTTCTGTTAGACACAAATGGTAAGAGACCCAAATATTGTGTTCAATCTTTCAATTCGTATTAGTCTTGTAGGTGACTCTGGTTTGATTTCACTCAGTTCAGCTTAAAAAATATATCGCTGGTGAGTTTTTAATTCTAGATATACAGCTTGAAATGGGTATTTAAGAAAATTGACTAGCTAATTAAGAAAATGGGCATTTCATTTTTGAAATTTATTTTATTAATATTGTTCTTTATTTGAAGAATAAATTAATGAATTCAAATTAATTATTAATTTGATATCGTTCATTTGCATAAATCACTTGGTGCATTTTTAATTGGTATTAGTTAAGTCTTCTTTTTTTTTTAAAGGAGAGACTTTAACAACTGTTGTTTTCGTACCAAAGGTGGTATATTTCGATGTTATTGTTTACGGTTAAAGAAACACATTTATGTCATTACATAAGCTAGTATGATTTCACATATTAGACTTTTTACAAGCATCTTAGTCTCTTATTCTTTAATTTTACTTCAAAATTATAGTAAATACATAGTAAGACTTCTTCCTATATTCGCAAAGCACGAATTTCTTTCTGCACTGGTACTAACTTTCTTTCTACACTGGTTCCAATTTGTGCGCTTAACATCATTTAGTTTTCATATCATGTTTCCCGAGACAAAATTAACCAAGAGATTAAGATCTGGACAGTATGAGGGTCATTCATCGTTAGGCAAAGCGCAAAAAAATAACATATCGCTGATAATAATAATGTTATTTTCTGTATATATTTGTAAGATATACATATTGTTCTCCCAAAATTTCTTTTTCAATAGACTTTCGTACAACTCACTTATCAATAGAAAACATAGGAACTTTTACCCTCTTTGGTAAATTATTCTTAAACGATATTTGAAGATGCGTTTTTGAAATTTAGGTGCCGAGTTTTAATCATGTGGTGTATCTTTCATTATAGTCACTGTTGATAAATTTGAGGATTATCGGTGACAAAACGTAAGCAATGGATAAGGATGGTGATTATATATTTATGGTGATGGAGTCTTATATATTTATTATCATTTTTAAAATTTGGAGGGTTTTCTTTGTGATTTTTGCTGGAATTCGAAATGGTCAGTTTTAATGAAAGTATTTAGACTTACCTTCGTTTAATCCATCTGTGATGAATGACTTGAACTTATCAGCTTTACAACCGGGCTGTTTACGTCCATTATTGGGAAAGAAATCTACGTGTCCGACGCTATGGCTCATTCCAAAACCTAAAAATGTAAATTATAATTGAGCTTGCAGAAACACCCTTCCTTCTTTAAACGAGAGTTGAAACTTTAACGCTCACACAACGCTATTGTGGAGAGACCTCATTTATTTTTGCTACCTACCTACTAACACTTGTACAAATGAACTCTCTTTTCTATCATAATCATCAGAAGATTTTACTGATCCTGTAAATAATGTGGTGCACCATGTACTTAACCATAATGTTTCATGTTAGCCTCGCGTTTATTTTTGTTACCTTCCTACCTAAACCTCAGATCAAATTAACTATCTTTTCCATCATAATCATCAGAAGATTATGCTGATCTTAATAATGATGCAATGACGATGAACCATGTATTTAACCATAATATGTTACGTTAACCTCGCGTTTATTTTTGTTACCTTCCTACCTGAACCTCAGAACAAATGAACTCTCTTTTCCATCGTGATCAGCAGAAGATTATACTTATCCTGCAAATGATGTGGTACACCATGTACTTAACCATAATGTTTCATGTTAACCTCGCGTTTATTTTTTTTACCTTCCTACCTAAACCTCTGATCAAATCAACTCTCTTTTACATCGTGATCATTAGAAGATTATGCTGATCTTGAAAATGATGCGATGAACCATGTATTTAACCATAATATGTCACGTTAACCTCGTGATTATTTTTGTTACTTTCCTACCTAAACCTCAGAACAAATGAACTCTCTTTTACATCGTGATCAGCAAAAGATTATACTGATCCTGCAAATGATGTGGTGCACCATGTTGCACCGAAACGTGCAGAGCCATCTTTTTGTCAGAGTTAACTTAATCTCAAAAAATTTAAAACTTATTTTGAATGTTCAAGTAGCTAATAAATAAAAACCCGGAATATTCGAAAGTTTCTCACAGGTAAATGAATGAAAGAGGACGAAGTATGTATTTTCATAAAGAATGTTTAGATTTTTTCTTCCTTGATCCTGTTTTTCATTTATTTATTTAAAAAATTTTCACTTTTAAAAATTTGAATGAAGTCTAAAGTTTATTCTGAGAATTCTACTTCGTGTTGAATCCCTCTGATTTTCCTTAATAGGAAAAATAAATTATTATAAAAAAATTACTGTTGATTTGAAATTATGTTGTTATACTCATAGAAGGATTTTAAAAACTCACCAATGAACATAATGTCTGTGGCATCTGAATGTATGACATCTACATAATCTGCGTCAGAAGGATCAAGTCTCACACTTGTTGGCATATTCTGGAAGTATGGTTCAGCTGGATCACAACCTAAAACAAAAAAGAACTTACTAATCTGTAGTTATTTACCTAAGCTAAGTCATATAACCTACGGTTAACTCTCACAAATGGTAATGAAGAACGATGGCGAGAAATGCATTATAACTATCATTTTAAAATATTGCCAAATAGAAACTGAATTGCTGAATTTCGATTAAAAAGCTTTAATAAATTTTATTCATTGCTCATATCGATAAAAGACGATTGATAACGTTTTAAAAGGTTCTAAAAACACGATGATTTTTCAAATTAAAAAAGAAAAAAACGCATGCTTAAGAAATATCAAAAGACTTGAAATTTATTTATGAAATTAGAAAATATTAATATGAAAATTTATTTATGAAATTTATTTATGAAATTTAATAAATCCTAAACTTTAGCAAAAAAATCAGTTTTTTTTTTTCAAGCAAGATTATTAATTTTTGGGGTAAAAATGTTCCATAATCACTCTAGTTAATAAGTGTTTTTTTAATTTTTTTTTTAGATTTTTTGCTAAACAAAGCAACACATTTCAGAGAGAGAAAAGATACGTTTTTTAAATCTGATGAACAACATTGAGGTTAATCAGAGAAAAATTGATGCAAATCAGTTTAGTTTAGTAGTGAAACTGTGTGTGTTTCATATGGCTTTATTCGGAATTCAATACAGAAAATTTGACAGCTCACTGCATCACAAAGGAACAGAAAAATAACAAAGAAACAATTCAAAAATTTAGGTAAAGTGAACAAAAAAGAACAATAAACATTTGAATCAATAAACATTTCAACAATATAATATTTTAATCATTAATATGAAAAAGGTAAAGTTAGTGACAATTCCTGAGAGTTCATGCGTCCCAATACAATTTTGTGACATTCCCACTATTCTGGGAGTTCCTATCTAGTCCCTTGCACAATAAGAGGTGATCAGAGTTTTAATACATCTGTGTCACAAATTGGGCATGCTTTGCCGGGAAGAATTTTTATGTTATATAAATGTTCTGATAAGCAATCGTGGCCTGTTTTAAGCCTAAAATGGGTTACTGCTTCCTTACGGGGTTGGTAACAGAGAAATTTCCAACTGTCTTGAATATTTTCCCATATTTTACCTTTTGATTTTATAGTTAAATCATAATTATTTATCTCGTTGAGTTTTTTCATAACGTATTTTTTAAGAGTATCAGGTGTGACGGTTGTTATTTCTTGGGGCATAGTTGTTCCGTTTTTTGCCAGATAATCTGCGTTCTCATTGCCTTCGATACCAATATGTGAAGGGATCCACTGCATAACTATAGTTTTATTCATTTCCTTGAGGAGGTATATATCGAGCTGAATTTCGTTTAACAGCTTAGTTTTAAAACATTGGTTTTTTGTGATTGCTGGAATTGCAGAGATGGGGTCTACCAATAGAACCACCTCATGAAACTAATTTTCATTTGACTGAAATTCACCATTTATTTTTCATTGGTTGAAAAAAAACCTTGTTGTAGAGTTAATTTACTCTATTTATGTACAGTTAAAGTATAAAATAATACCGCTCTATTACCTGTGATTCTTCCAAGTGTCTTCAAGATGGCCCCAGCATAACCGGCTACATGTGATCCAAGACTGTGACCAATGATGTGACAGTTTTCTCTCTTAATGCCTGCATATTTCTGCATTAAAAGAAAGAGAAAAATAATTTTATTTTATATCTGTGTGTGGGGCTATTGAAATTTTATCAATCGTGATTGTGTTTTAAATCTTATCATCCAAAATTTTTTTTTCTCTTTAAGAGTATGCGTGTGCAGAGAGAAAAACTGTGCTAATGATTTTTTACAGTGCTATTATCAGGATATTGCATTGTTTTTTACAAAGTAAGTATGCACTGAACAAGTATGTATGCAAGTAAGTATGTACTGATAATAACAATCATGTTTAAAATGTTTTTTTTTATTTTTAAACTTACATCTTTGGAGATATTTTGCAAACATGGAGATGGCATGATTGATATTCCAGGTACCATACCTCATTCATTGTGATTATTGATAGTGAAGTTTTCTAGTGATATTCACAACAGTGTTTTATATTTATTTTTAATCTTTTTTTAAATTTAATTTTGTTCTCTACTTACATTATTTCTTGTATTAAGAAATTTTCAAATGTTGAATTGACTTTCAGATAACTTAGTATTTAAATTGGTTTCATAACCAAAAATTTAAATAATGAATATTAACTCTTTTTTTTCTCTTACTTCTAAAGCTTTGATGATTAAGGCGATTTCTGCTCCTACTACTCTAGTATTTGACGTAGCTTGGTAATAAGGAGGTTTGTTACCACCACTCCAGTCTACAACAATGATGTTATAATCACCATGCATAAGAAATTCGTCTTTCATTGCCTATGAATTAAAAAAAACACATATGTATCAATGAAATCTTTTATTTAATATTATTTAAGTCATATATATACATTGAATTAGCTTCAGAGATGTCCAAGCTGACCTCATTTGAAGTTACCTTACTTTGTTTGCCATCATACACCAATCGATTAATTGATTGACAATAGGAGTGGACGGAGAAAAACTGCCTTGCAACCTATCGAAGCAGAAGTGAATGTGGAAAATCGCATTGTTGCCTACAACAACCAGTGTGACTGGTGTGAGAAAAAATTCCTTATTATCTGGATTAGCATCCAGAAGACGCATACATTTGATGCACAACTGAAGAGTAACTGATTCAGTTCAGCCTCGTAGATTGGACATCTCTATTCTATGAAGAGAATTAGCATACTTACCAACATCCATGGTCCATACAATTCACTATCCATGAAACCATGCACAATGAACTTAGTGGGATTGTCTTTATTCAAGTTCGATTCAGTAAAGGATTCTTTATCACTGGCCACAAGCACGTGCGATTCTTTGGCATTTTTTCTGGTGTACAGAAGTGATCTAGCGTTAATAGTTGCCCTGTCATGTGGGAGGACATTAACGGGTCTGTGCAACAAACTCTTGAAGTCATCTGTTATGGCGAAGCAACCCAGCTCCTTCATACACACTTCCTTTTCTTTGTAACAAAAAAAGAAATAAAAATGCCAATTATTATATACATGATTTTTTAACCAAATTTATGTCATTGAATGTTTGTTCTTTTAATCATATACATTGTCAAACTGCTTGTCAAGGATTCAGATTAAACTTTTTCTGCAAATGACGGCGACATAAATATTCCAATTTATAAAAAGTAACATTGTGGATTTATATCCTTTCTACCTTTAACGCGCAATAACCCCTGATAAAAATAATGTGGATAAGTTCTGGTACACCTACATATCTTAGCAATAATTTAAGTTTTTCTTTTTACTTACATGCTATTTACTTGTAAATGCAAAGAGCTTCTTCAATGTTTTTCACATTCGATGGTATACTTTTATTTATCTAAAATACTACCTTTTTGAGGTTATGTTTTAGTGAGGTTTTTGTGTATATTTTTTTCCAGTTGAATGTACATAGTTAATACAAAATACAACTTTTAATCACCTAAAATTATTTTTTAAGTGACATCACTGGGTTCAGATATAGTTATGATTGCTACCAAACTTAGTGATTTCCTTAAAATTAATAATTATTATCTTCATCATTTTTTATGTACTAGCTTATCCTTTTAAACGTTTTGATAAAAAATACTAAATCAAAATAAAAAAATAATAATAACAAAGTTTCGTCATACAAATACCAAGCCATTCAATAGGAACTCTTCCGCCACATTGTCATGAAACCCGTTAAACTTCTTAACATTAGAAGAGGTCCGACATCTCGTTATTTGGTTTTTGAGCTTCTTCCGTAAGGGTAATTCCTATGTAACATATGTGACAACCTTCTTTCATTTTATGTAAGTTTTTTTTTTTTTTTTTTTTTTTTTTTTTTTTTTTTTTTTTTACATGATTGCCAACGGAAAGGAAGAAATTTTAGCCTTTTTTCTATTTTTATTATTTTTTTAGCCTTTTATATAAATAGATTATTAGCTATAGTTATTTGGAAGACACTATAATCCATGTAATCTATCAGTCGAAAGAAATATGACTAAAAATTCATCATGGCTTTGTATAATATAGATTCAATTGATATTTTAACAGCAAGAGAAGGCTTTAAAATGTTGATTTCTCCTAAAAATGCATGTTTAGCATCTAATTACAACTGTAATTATCAATCAATTATCTATTTTTTTTAAAAATAATTCGATGAAATTCTCAAAAACTACGGACATTTTGATTTAGTAAATTCTAAAATAAACATGTTATTTGTATCATTTAAGAATTTTAAAGCAATATTTTAGAGTTTTTTTCTTTTTTCAATATCAAAAAAACAATCGTATCAATATTTTATGTAGATACATCTGTTTCTTGTTGATCGGAAACATGGCAGCTGGGGCAGGTGATAAGATTTTCCTATCATCTTAGACATCATTTTAAATGACGTCACAAATTTTTCTTTGCAATATATGAAAAAAGAAGAAGAAAAAAACGACTGCCATATTAAAAACAAAAACATTCATAATGTAACGCACCAAGTATTTTTTATGTTGGGTAGTTCTAGCAGCACCTTTTTAAAAATAGGTATACTGAATTTTCAAACCGAGTAGCTAATATGAATCTAACTCTAAGTAATAATCTGTCATATACTACGCTTATGCATATTTACGTACAGTGTGCAAAAAAAGGAAAATCTCTGAATAACTTTTGAACTAATGATTGGATTTTCGCGCACTAAGATTTGGGGGCCTAACTTTAAATGTACTAATTTGTTAGTGCAGGCGATATTTTAAGCTACGAAATTAGACATAAAACATTCTTTCTATTAATAATTATATTGTTTTTCCCCCGGATTTGGATTTTTCACCCTCTAATTGTGGGGCAGGGGGTAGTCACAATCTACACAATACGGTCCTAATAGTTTGGTCAGGAGAGAGCTAGAATGTTTTGGCTTTTTAATGCTAATTTTGCATTTTGTGCTTTTCGCTATATCTTTAGAACTTTTTGAGCAAATCAAAAACTTTTTGCAAACAATTATGAAATTAATTTATCCAATGATAATTCCATGCAAAACACAATTTTAAGTAACTATTTACTATTTTTTATTTTATTTATTAATCGTTGGGAAAATGTTGATCTATAAGGTATACATTTTTTACATCATTTTAAAGAATGTAATTGCGTGACAATATGCAAAATTTAAACAAAATTGATCGAAAACATCGAATTGAAATTTGAACGAAATTTAATAACTATTTAACCGGATTTCGTCTAAATTTTGTATTTTACATAATCTTTTTTTTTAGTGTACAGAAAAAAAATGCATTGTAAATTATGCAAAATTTAGAGGAATATTTTAATATTAAGTTTACCCACATATTTACATTAGGAGACAGCAACCTTATTATACATACACAAGTTTTACAGTATTTTTGATATTCTTAAGAAGTCTACAAAATAATGTATAACAGTGCATTATTTTTATTATTAAATAACATCCGTTATTAAATACCGTGTTAGAAAAATAACGAATCTATTGAAGACAGCTTTTTGAAATTGTTCTCTATTTTTCATTTTTAACCTCTTTTTTTGTAGATAAAATAGACTTTTATGGGATGCTAAACTATTCTACAGCGTTAGCTTTTCAGGCGCGTAAAATTTGGAATCACATTTTAACATTTATTAATCTAGATTTTTCTGATTTTTTCTACACTATATTAGAAAAATTTTACTCTTTCTTCTAGAATAAGTTTTTTCGTTACTAGAGAACTTCATTAATGTAACATTGGGAATAACCACCTGAAAGTATGTACTGAAATAAAATTATTAATTCTACCTTATATAAATAAAGAAGAATTATATAAGGTAAAAATAATAATATTTATTAATATTAGCTTAACATTTTTTTTTAAAATAAAGAACGTGTTAAAATAGTTTTTAAATTTTCGAAAAACTTACATACTCTAGATGCATAGTTTTGGTTTGCACGTTTTCGTTATCAAAAAAATGTTTTGATGCGTATTGTTTTATTTATAAATAGTACTATGAAGTGAGAAAAAGATCAAATGTTTTTTTTTCCTCGTATTTTTGGATTCTATAAATGGCAGTTTTCCAAAATCATTATTTAGTTTCCGTTTGTTTTGCTGTTGAATTAAATAAAGCATTTTAAGGTAAGTTACTGGAATTTAAAATTTTTTTTACACCATTAGGTTTCATGTTGCCTAAAATTTGAAACCACGTTTCAACATTTTATTGAAATTCTAATGTATATAAAGACAACTTAATATTTGCAAATGTTGTGTAACAACAAACATAATTTATTGTCTCTATTTTTTCATGAAAAAATTAAAATTAAAGTCAGTTTATAGACTTCTTTGTAAAAACAGGTGTTTCAAATTAGAAACCATTTTACATTAAAAATACAATTGTGTTATTATACTATGTAATAGAAACTATAGATGTCTTACTTCCCCAAGCATCGACATCGATATCCAAACCTCTTTGAGCCGTATCATTGCCACCAATTGGACTTCCATACGTCACCGATGCACACCAAATGAAACACAACGCCAAAAATATGGTCATTTTTTAGCTCTTCGGTGGGGACACCAGCTAAAAGATCAGTTTATTCTACAAACGTTACTTAAGTAACTTTTTTTATATTATCAGATAAACCAGAGCAAACGATAGAGGACAAAATGATTACGCTCTAGCTTGACGAGATAAAATATTCTGAAAAATGACACCTGTTAATTGGCTCACTGAATTAAAATAGTTTGAAGCCTTAGTTGTATCTTTGGTACTTATATATTTTCAGTAATTTTGGTAACAGATGTTTATATCAAAGGATTACGTACATTTTTTATTTACTTTTAACTTTTTGATGAAGCCTATTTGAAATAAAAGATTAGTAATCAGAAATAAGGTGATAAATTGAGTTGTTTATTACATTGATCTCTGCCTTACTGATTAATAATGTGTTGATCTCTAATTCACGGAAAAAGTGAAATCTGCTATATAAAATGCGTCAAATTATCTCAATATTTCATAATTTTTAATTATGTTAACATAACGTGAGGGAAACGGACAACCCTAGGTATAATTTTATCCTGGCTCAATAAGAGAGCAAAAAATTGGCACAGAAAAAGCCCTATAAGAAGATTATTTATAGTTTGTCTTTAGGAAGAACTTCCTTTGTCATAAAGTCTAGGGCTGTGTGTTGCAATGGAAACAAGAAATACCTCATTTTAGACAGGAGAGTTTCTCTCTCCCCTGATTTCCTTTTTCTTTTCTAATCCCTGACAAAACCTCTCTTACCCCTTTGTATCACCGCGTTACATATCTGCAACATACATGAAAATTCAATCCTATAATGAGGTGGATTTACCTGTAAAATCGAACTAAATTCAGGTAAAGAAAATATTGTAAACTCGGGGGAACCAAGTCTTGGTGCAGCTGCCAATATTACAATGCGTTTAGCAAGAATTGTTCCACGACATAATTGCAGGATATTTCAATCTTCTTCCAACAATCCCCTTGATTGTATATTTGGCTAAGGAGGGATTGGAAAATGTGGTGTGAGACCTTGTTACCATAAAAACAACAATTTCAAGATTTTTCACATGAAGTTTTAAATATATTGGAATTTTTGTGCTATTTTTCACGATATTGGAGATGTTCAACAAATGCTTTTTATCAATAAATTTTTAATTTTAAGGTCTTAATTTTTTCATTATTTTTTACACGCTTAATATGATGTATTCTAACATTTGCGTAAATATTTCTTAAATCAGAGTTGTTGAGTTACAAAGGGTTTAATATTGACTTAAACCTTCTAATTTAATCAAACCTTGTAACCATATTCACCGCCACTGCTCCAGATGAATGGCGAGGGGAGTTCATTCCGCAGATAGGCTATGGATTGCTAGGGTAAATGGTGGAGGGAATATATAGACTAAAACGGGCAAAACTATATGAACTCGATATGGGCTGTGTAATGGCTATAAAATATGGATCGGAAGATTCTAAATATGCTTATCTAAAAAATTATTGGTCGATAATTTCTCCTCTAACCATTATTTAACAAAGATTTAACCTATGATGGCCCGAGTTATGCTTCTGTTTGAGGTTTGATGAATTTTTGCGATTACTTTTCCATTATCAAAAGTTATACTGTTAGTTAGTACAGGAAATAAATAATCTGTCTGTGGTAAATTCATAACAGTGACCGAATAAGCAAATAAAAATAAAAACCTATGTTGACCTAATCTGACCGTACGAAGGATATAAATGATCTTGTTTCAATAACTTGCAGATAAATACAGTTAGAATGTCAGATTTTTTAAGTTATCTCGTGCTAATTTTTGCAGTAGAAGTTAACTCCTTTCTGCATCCAATCTCATCTGTAACAATCTCCTCATTTCTCCTTTCTGTAACAATGTATAATTTCCCAATCACTTCGAAATTAAAATTTAATAAAACTCTTCTTATATTGTTGTTGCTGGCCCACACGGTTAGCGGAGCTAAACCAAGTCCATGACTCCAGAGACTCTGATGAGCAAGTCTGTAACAAAAAGTGGATCTGAAAAGAGGTCCACTTTAGAGATATTTAGGCATTGAAGTATATGTTCAGGAGTAGCTTGTTGGTCGTTACACTTAGTGCAAACAGGGAAAACTTTTGAACCATTACTGAACAACATAGTTCTTAGGTGACCGCTTCGAAATCTTGATATAACCGTCTGATCCCGCCTGCTGCACTGAAGGGTCAGGCTGCCACCTGAGCGGTTGCACTGATACCAATGATGAACAGGAGGGGCCACAGGATCACGAAGCCTGTTAAAACGGGAGTGGAACTCCGAGAAAGTCAGAGATGCCGAAGAATGCAGGGGCAGATCAGTTCCGCTCTTAGCCAAGGAGTCTGTAATCTCATTACCCTCAACATCGACATGAGATGGGATCCATTGCAAGTGTATATTATGGGAGAAAGAAAGGGTCTTCAGCTTGTTTAAAATTGAAACTCCATCACTGTCACCCACCCCATGCCAATCCGAAAGGTGTTGGATTGCACTCCTACTATCGCTCAAAATCCAGATGTCATTTGATCCTGGAAAAGTAAGCACAGCGCCCAATCCAGCATCTATAGCGATCAGCTCGCTGCGAAAGACAGAGCAGTGATCAGGATTTCCCAACTTGATATGGTAAGAGCCGTGGTTGGATCTGACGAAGACACCACTGCCAGAACAAGAATCGGCATTCCTACTGCCATCTGTATAAATAAGAGTTGCCTCGCTCGGAATGCTGTTGATCAATTCAAGAGCAATTTGTCTCAGATACTCAGGAACGTCAGAAGATTTCTGACATGTACAGGAAGAAATGGGTGGAAATACACTCTCTGGAGTCCCTCGCTTGGATCAACACAAGAGTTCAGATAGTGCGGCTCAACATTTTCTGAAGTCAAATTATCACCGATCCCTAGACTGAAAGGGCTGTTTCTCTTGAGCCTTTGGTTTCTCTTATATTAAAGACTTGCATTATCAAACATGATGGAATGAATATGAATATGATATAGAATCGTTTGTGGTAATAAAAAAATGAATAAAAAACATTTCTTGGAAAAAAAATGAAAAGCGCTTAATCAATTTTACTTAAAATGAGTGGACTACTTTGCATGTTTTGATATGTCAGCGAAATTCATTATTTTTACTATAGTTAATCTGCAATATGCAAATCTACAAAATTGAAATCAACCAAAATAAAGAAGTCTCATTGTCATCATGTCACAGATTTTGATGAACATTTTTTGTAGAAAAACTCATTAATAAAAAGGGCTAGAATAATTTTTTCGGAATATTTGGACGAAAATTACGATAAGAGGGCTATTTAGAAATTCGACTCGAATTTAAAAAAAAAAATGGCGTTGCAACGAATGATGGCTCGTATATTAAAAATGTCTATATCTTTTTTATTTAAGCGAATGAGCCGATTTTTTTAAAATTTTGATGTCATTAGAAAGAAAAAAGTAAACTCTATGTAATTAAACTATTAAAATGCTGAAAATATTTACATAAGTTTTTATAAAATTTAATTTAAATATCTTTTGGGGAAATTTTTTTAGCATATTTCAAGAATTTTTTACTGGTTAATAACAGCTTTTATCATCTTATCTTTTCCCAAAATATCATATTTTTTCAACAGACAAAGAAAATCAAGAGGATGTTTTTTGTCTTTATAAATTTAAAAAGTAGTTTTTAGCTAAATTAATTCAAAATTTTTATTGCACAAAGTTTCTTTACCTCAATTTTTTTCTCGTAATGTTAAATCATTTTGATTGATTCGTTATTCTCTCTTTATTAATTTTAATTGATTTGACAGATTGATTTTTGACCTCTTGTTTTTTCAAAAATAATAATGTCATCGTTTCAATATAAAAGAAATCATGATGGTATTTTGTGATTTTGTTCAGAAAAGAAATTTAAGAGTTGTTTTTAGTCAAAATTATTCAAGGTTTTAACAGCACAAAATTAAAGTTTTTTGACCTCAATTGTTTTTGTGTAATATTAAATGTTATACTTTTGAACGTAAAAGAGCTCCAGAAAGTTTTTTTTTTGTCTTACTTTCAGTTATTAAAAAAAATAAAAAGTAGCTTTTTGTCCAAATATTTTTAAAACTTTTTTGGGTGAAATAGCAAAGTTCCCCGAAATCAATCAAATAAAAAAACTCATTCTTGATTTTCTGATAGTGAAAAGTAAGACATTTGACTATAAAAAAAATGAGATCAAGAAACTTCGATTTTGATTCTCCTTAAAATAATAAATCGCAATCGCCGGCGACACTGCTTTGGATATTCAGCTTATTTTCACATTCTGTTTTGCTGTGTTACGGCTTATTCGGCTTAAATTATAACGACTTAGAAACGTGAATATAGAAGGAGGTGTAGAAAACTGTACAAAGAGTACTATGAAATATAAAAAAAATTATATTCGATAAATAGATAGAGAATTATTAACTGCTAAATTTGCAGAAAAATCTCGATGCAGGCTATCTTGCAGGCCGCAGCAATGAAACTACAAACTTGAAATTCCACATGCTGGAAGAACCAGGTTTGTTTATGAACTTAACAGAAATTCCTCTGGAGAAATGTATCCGAGATAGTGGATTGGACCAAAGAGGCACTCTCTGGAATAGGTCTTTCCAGGTTTTGTCTTACGCTGATGACATCGGCATAATTGGAAGGTCAGAAAGGGATGTCAGAGAGCCTTTTCGAGCTCTCGAAGCTGCTGCCACAAATATGGGCCTTGCTAGTAATGAAGAAAAGACAAAATTCATACAATTTTCATCCTCTACTGTAAATTACAGTGCCCTTTTATGTATTAATGGTTAAAACTTTGATAGGGTTAACGAATTCAAATAACTTGGCAGTGTTGTTAATGATTAAAACATTCTTAGAGCAGAAATCAACAATAGAGTTCAAATGGCTAATAAGTGTTTCTTTGGACTGAGGAGACAGCTAAGATCGAATCTTCTCCGCCGAGAAACAAAGTTAAGACTCTATAAGGCACTCATACTACCTCTGTGCTACTTTATGGAAGTGAAACTTGGACCCTAAATTCAGATATACAGCGAACACTAGACGCCTTTGAAAGAAGTATCCTCAGAGCCATCTTTGGCGCAATTCAAGAAAGGGGATGCTGGTGAACCAGATATAATTTCGAGCTCTACCTTCTCTACAAGCAGCCCCAAATTTCACAAATAATTCGCAGTAATAGGCTGAGATGGCTGGGCCATCTATGGAGAAGCCCTGAAAATAGCGCCATGAGAATAGTCATATTTAAGAACCCTGAGGGGTCACATACCAGAAACTGACACCCTACTAGATGGCTCAACGACATCAAAAATGATTTGAAAACTCTAAGGCTTAGAAATTGGAAGGGAATTATCGTGGATAGGAGGAGCTGGCATTTGTCAGCTGTAGAAACAACCAAGGCCTGCAAGGGGCTGTTGCACTGACAAAGAAGAAGCAGAACAGAGCAGAAATTGCCATTTGTTCGAAAGTTATTGAATTATAAGTACTTTTTGGTAAATTTTTTCACTTTTTTTTTGCTTTATGTTGTATTGTTTTATTGCTAATGTAACATATATTTTGCAAATGATCAAACGGGGAAATCTCGAGTGAGCCACCAGCCATCAGCATGAACTTTTTATAAATGACACTGTTCACTTGGAGGATGGATGACCTAGTTAGTTCTTACTTTCTTACTACGAAGAAAGGGGAAAGTGTGATTTATTGGGAGAGTATCATCACATTGGATGACAAAAAGAGTTTTCGAGGGATACAAGTAGGATTCCCGCCAGTAGGGCGACAATTGTCGCCAAATGTTCTACAAATGTTGCTAAAATCATACACAAGGGCGGGAAATTTGTAGTCTTGAAACTTAGCAATTTACAAAATAGTAGCCATAAATAGTTTTTTGCATCGAATTCCACGCATTTAAAAAATATTTGTTGTACTAATTTATTCCTCTATGCGTAGAATGGAAATCAAATGCGTGGTATTCAATAACAAAAAGAGAAAATTTTAAATTTAAAAGTTTTGATTTAAATGTTTAAATTTCAAATTTAAATGTTGTGTTTTGAATTCATGTACTGGCAGTAAATTTATTCATTAATAAAAGGATTTTTTTTTTGCTCTTTTAGAATTGACTTCATTTAAAATTTTAAAATATTTTAATAATGAATTTTTAGTATAATTATTTTGTTAGTTCTTACATTCTCTGTTTTCTTCATATACTTATTTATTTAATCTCAGCGTTTTAATCGTTATGTTGAATATATTTACTAATATTATTTTAGCTTTTTTACACTTGATTTTAATAACCATCAATTTTCGATCATTATGGGCTAATGAATCTTATTAGTTAAAATTGTTGATGTGTACCATATGTAATTGTAAACTTTGATTTTTCTCAAGTTTGAATACCATATTAATTTTTTGGACCACTAAATGAATGCCTAGGTGGTGTTACTGGACCACTAAATTTCCATTGTTAGTACGGACCCGAGATAGAAGAGAAGCTTCAGAGAATGGGCCAATAACTACTGGCGTTATTAATAAGAGAGGGTGTCATGTATTTTATCTTCAGTGTAAATTCGCCTTGCAGCGACTCAACTCAACTCCACCTTTTGTTATCCCGCGCTAGTCAGTTGTTGTTCAGCTTTAAACGTAACAAGATGTAAACCTCACCTTCTCCCTAATAAAATATGATTTACCTTGATTCTTGTATATAATAATTTGGCGACGAGGATAAAAGAATAATAATGACGGAACTCAATCAATTAATTACAACTCTTCAAGAATTTGTTCAATCAGTAAAATCAACACCAGAATCGAAACGAAGCGCAAAAGATGTCATCGCTACTCAAAACTTATCATTCGATCCTTTTGATGCCGCTGTCGAATCCTTTGATTGTTATTCTCAACGACTTGAAAATTATTTCAAATTAAAAGGACTGTCAGCAGATGATCCAGAAACAGAAGAATTAAAGGTACTCGTATTAATTAACTGTCTTGGCTCACGACAATACCAGCTGCTTTCGAGTCTTACTGCACCGGATATTCCGTCGACAAAAACATTTCAAGAACTGCTATTGCTTTTAAAGAAGCATCTATCACCGAANAGTGTGACGCTTATCGTCACTTAATTCAGAATCACAATAAAACATTTAAAATAGATTTATCGTAAATTGCAAAATAATTGATTAGATTTAAAATACTGTGGAAACGTCCATTAGTACATAGAACTTAAGCAAATACAAATAAACACTCTTGATTAAAGTTAAGAAATACGTGTCGAAAAGAGTTAATCACAAGTCTATAGTTCAAGTTTGATTTCTTATGTGACCTTTCCAGAATTTAGCAATAGTTTTATCGAGCAAAAAGTTTAGTATAAAAGACCAACAAAAAGAGCAGTAGTAGAGAGAATAGAACCGAGTCATTAGAGAGGTTCACCAATTTCCACTATGAACATCAGTATGGGTAGTTCTCTCCATGCCAATTAGTTTATTTGTTACTAATCAAAGCCTTTTAATTAATTTAATTTGTTATTTAAATTTGTATTTGATTAAAGCATTAATTAATTTAAGTATTTTAAATAGTTAAAGTATGTAAATGAATTCGACAATAAAACGATCACAGGTTAAATTGATACGTAGTAGTTTGGGTCTTTAAACCACCGTAACATTAGCAATTTACGAAATAGTAGCCATAAATAGTTTTTTTGCATCGAATTCCACGCATTTAAAAAATATTTGTTGTACTAATTTTATTCCTCTATGCGTGGAATGGAATTCAAATGCGTGGTACTCAAATAGAATAACAAAAAGTGAAAATTTTAAATTTAAAAGTTTAGATTTAAATGTTTAAATTTCAAATTTATATGTTGTGTTGTGTTCTATTTTGAATTCATATACTGGCAGAAAAATTGTTCATTAATGAAAGGATTTTTTTTTTTGCTCTTTTAGAATTGACTTTATTTAAAATTTTAAATTATTTTAATAATGAATTTTTAGTATAATATTTTGTTAGTTCTTACATTCTCTGTTTTCTTCATATGCTTATTTATTTAATCTCAGCGTTTTAATCGTTATGTTGAATATATTTACTAATATTATTTTAGCTTTTTTACACCATCAATTTTCGATCATTATGGGCTAAATGAATCTTATTAGTTAAAATTTTTGGTGTGTACCATATGTAATTGTAAAGTTTGATTTTTCTCAAGTTTGAATACCATATACATTTTTTGGACCACTAAATGAATGCCTAGGTGGTGCTATTGGACCACTAAATTTCCATTGTTGGTACGGACCCGAGGTAGAAGAGAAGCTTCAAAGAATGGGCCAATAACCACTGGCGTTATTAATAAGAGAGGGGGTGTTATGTATTTAAGACTCAATTTTTTTTCAATGGAGTAGAAAACTTTAAACTTTCTGGAAACTTAATTTTTTTCTTGTAGATTTTATATTTACTGTCACACATTTTCACAAAAAAAGGACTATTTTTAAAGGCACACATAGAGGCAATTCTCGGAAATTATTTTTACAAAATATTTAACAAAAAAAAAAAAAACCTCCCGAAAAAAAGTTTGTTGAACATCATATTCGTCATTTTCTCGTCATATGAAACTATGCTTTTTCTCAAATAATATGCTATTTCTATAACAGCTGTGAGTTTTCAATTATTACTCATGGCTATTAGGTCAAGTGTAGCCTTTCTAAAGCCAGTACTGTCAACGCTTATTTTGAAAATGGCCAAAACGTCAATATGGAGAAAAGCCATAGTTTTGTGAATATAAAAAACGCTTAAGGTCTAATTTTTCAATATTTTGAAATTTATTCCAGTACTGCATTACCCGGTCTTATAAAGAATAGCAAAAACTGAAAATACACATACGATATTGATAATTTTCATCCAGGTGAAAAAATGTCGCAAAATTAGTGATTTTTAAAAAAAGCTTAATGATTTTTAAAATATTTGTCATTTGTCAAAAGGCCAGATAATTCTTCCTGGCAAGATTATTTTTACATAGTTTAAAATAATCGCATTCGTTCAAGTGTGGGGCACTTAAATTATAGTTTTTTTTTAAAATTTTCATTTTTCCTAGAGACAGAGCTTCAAAAAATAGCGCTAAATGTCAGCGCCGCAATCGCCATATGTGAAATCACCAACCACAATTAGCAAGATCTCAGATCTATGACGTTATATAAAAGAACGCCGTTTAAAGTTTTTTTCAGTTTTAGATTTTTCTGTTATTTTCAGGTGGCAACATTTGTACGTCATTTCATATGTTTTTGTTTTGTTTTCTTTGCGACGTGTTTACTTCCTACTTCTGATGCAATGGTTTTTCTTTCTTCAAAATCATGGAGTTAAAGTGAAAATAAAATAAAAAATTTATTCAGAAAATAATATTTTCCTATTGCGTTTTTACTTGCATAAAAATAAACTAATTAATGTAATTAAAAATGTCTAGCGACAGCGATTTAGATTATGAAAGTGCTGATGAAGACACGACTGAACACGATATAAGCGAAAAAGAAAAGATATCTGAAACTAGTAAAGGTTTTGACAAAATCTCTGGTGAAATTGCAGCTGGAAAAAATGCACCAAAAGTTGACTCTTCAACGACAGATGTAACTAGTAAACTTCCTTCATCACAGAGCGAACCTGATAATACTGACTCCTCTGAAGTTTTTCATAGTGAACCAAGTACGGGGAAAGAAAAAGATGAACCCCGAGTTGGAGCAGATGCATCTGTAACAAGTTCCGAATTAAAGTTCCCCGAGGAAATTAAAGTAAAACATGAGAAGCAACGCGTACCTTTAAGACTGGAAAAGAAAAGGCAACAGAAAAGCCAATTCTCAAAAGAATCTTCTGTAGAAAAGAAAAGTCAGTATTCAAGAGAATCTTCTGTAGAAAAGAGAGGAGGCGAGCTGTTTGAAGGGCCTTCTGAAGAGAAGAAAAATCAACTCTCAAAAGACTCTTCGGAAGATAAAGCAAACTCTAATGACAAAAGTAACAGTGATGCTCAATACAACATTCCCCCTGCTGTTGATAAAGGAAAGGTAAAAACATCGGTTTCCATTCTGATACCTGTTCACAGGGAAGATTTCTGTATTGGTACCTGTTCCAAAATAAGCATCAAGTTATGGTGATTTCTGGTCAGTGGCTCATGAGGAAAGAAAATTGTTGTAAGAGGACCAATTCAAAAGATATAACTCATAGCCACCCTAAAGCAAACTTCTCTATATTTTTGTAAAAATTATTTGAAGTTTAAAATCTATATAGCTTCTTCATAATTGCAATTGGTGCAAACAGGAACTGATACCAAAATATCCCCTGTTTGTGTCAATTGAAATGTGCTCTGGGAAACTACTCGGTTTTTTGTTTAAAATAGGTTTAATCTGGGATGCACATCATATAACCTGCTGGTTCTTTACTGACCAACCGTTCTTGTGTCTGTGACTTGCTCCTTAAACGGTTTTAAATATTATTAAAAAATATATGAAGTCTTTTTTTTCTACCAATGAAAAAATACCATTATATTAGCTATTTATTTATTTTTTTTAAAATTTACCAGTCATCTTGCTATTTCAATTACTTATTGTTTTTAGTGCAAGTATGACCTTAATATATCCATTTTATTTTTCAAGCTTTGTTTGTGGCCATGAGTTTCAGATCTTGCAGACAAATGTAGTTTCACGCAAAATTTACCTGTTGCTCTTTGTATACATGTAACTTTTAGCAAGGATATAAATACACTTAAAATTTTTACAATTACAGTTTTACTTCTCTTATGTTTGTTTCTAACATGAAATTTTTTAGTTTTTGTGGCTTGCTATCAAAAAAAGCTTCTACTTACGTGAATCTAATTAAAAATATTTAAAAAGTTGATTGTATGATTTGAATTTGCCTGATCATGTGTGCAGGTTATCATTATTTTTTAAATTTTTATGTGCTGATGCCAGATTATCACCAAAACATTTGCGGAAATTTTCTCCAACAAATTTAAAAACTTCAATTGTGAAGTTTGATAGAAATGTTGTACTTTATTAATTATTTATCATATGATATAAATTTTTTTTTTTTTTAACATTGGATTGGAACAAAATTGTATAAACATAATCATCTGTGAAATTTATAGTTTCAGTATTAATAGTTCCCAAAAAATTTACCAAACCAATTGGTCATGTTAAGTTAATAATTTGTTAACTAGTATTCTGAAGTCTTTGTTAATGAACTAGTTAAATACTTTTAAATTTTTATTATTATATTCTAATAGCTTCTCCAATGTAAACTTGTGCATTTTAATAGTATAATTTAGACTCGTATAGTTATAGTTAATTTATCATCTCTAGCTATTCACATTTCATGATATAAGTCATACGAGACCTTCGTTTGAAGTGTTTAGTTTTATTATTCTAACTTTGTGCATTAATATGCAAAGTTATTTTTCAACTAATTTATTAAATTGTCCAATAAACTTATCATATATTCACTGTTTTTAATTGCTATAAGATGCATAACTTTCATAAATATTTATTGTATTTTCCAGACATCATCTTGGGGTTTTGGTGGCTGGGGTACTAGTTTATTATCTTCTGCAGCTTCATCTGTGTCCTCGTTTTCTAATCAAGTTTGTAAGTAACTGTTACATTCTTTTTATTATACAAGGTTGACTGAGGTAGATGAGAGGGTAGAGCTATTTAGTTTTTATGTAATAAACTTTTTTATCCAATGTCCTGAATCAGTAGAGTTATGGTTACATGAAAATCTGGAAGAAAAAAGGCTAAGATTTGCTATGCATGTGCATCAGTTTTTCAAGATTTTTGTGTCATCAAAATTGACGATTATAACTGTCAATCAAGAGTTTAGATTGTACTTGTTGACGAAAACCGCCAGCGATTAAATTAACCCATGCAGTTTAATGGTGACCGTGCTATCCAAGTATAACTGACCTTCTACACATCTAGAGTCCAGGTGGTGGCTATTTGGGTGAGAGGAATATAAAATACAATTGGCTGAAACATGGTCACAGAGTCTGATCTCTAAGAAAAGAACAGGAGGTCCAATTTATCTCATTACGGTCATGTTAAGCGCAGTAGTTTGTAATTAACGATTACGAATATAGAAGCTATTGAGAAATCATTTATTTAAAAATATATTTTCTTATTTTATAAGGGTTTTAATAATGAATTATTACTTTATTGTATGGAACTGGAGAGCTGCAACTTTGCATCAAAAAAGCTTTGTAGTTTGCGACCTCTGAACTAGCCAATTATAATCATCGATCCAATGCATAAAATTTAGCACATTATGCACCACAGTTTGGCCATCTTTGTATTTAATTTTTTAAGAAACCAAACTACAATTTATTTTTTCTGATTATAACTGCTAACTTTTTCTTTTTAAGCTCAAGGAATTGGTACTGTTCTTGAAACTGTTGAGAGTACTTTAGGAGCTCCATCTCCAGAAGACCTGGCATCTGTTTTAAGGGAAAAAAGAGGTACCCCAATTTAACATTCCGTTTATGTTAAACTGTGCGAAATGCTTTAAGACAATATTTAAACACAAGAAACAAACATTGAAAATGAAGGATTTTATAGTATGATAAATATTAAAAATATACATGTTTTAACCCCTTGCATCCGAAGCGTCATGAAAAGACATTTACAAGCAAACTACGGCAAGTGTCGTTTCGTGACGGTCTTGTTTTTTTGGGGTNGTAATGAAGGGACACAAATTCTAGGACTCGATCGGAATCAGAGGGTTAAAGCTGCTTTCTTTTCCTATCCTTATAACTTTTTTTGTTTTATTTTTACTGCTGTTTGAATTACAAAAATAAAATTCTAGAGATCAAGTAAAAATATGAAGATATCTGTTTCTTAAATTATATTTACTTGTTATCAGTTAATATGCTTATAATTTTGATTGGAAGAAAAAATATTTTTTTAATTAAAAATTCTAAACTTGATTAGGAAATGAACCATTTTGTACCAAGTACATATTGTTTAAAAATAAATTTTAAAGCAATTGAAAAAAAAAATAGTTCTGCGAATTTTGCAATTGTACTGGCAAAAATTATTATATTTAAAAAGCAGGTGTAAGACCATTGTTGTGTGTAAGCATCTGTTAATTTAAATATTAGTTTGTATATTTAATTAAATCAATTTTTCTGTAACATCAGTTTTAAAAACAAATTTTAAGCAATTGTGAAAAATTGCTTAAAATTGAAGCATTTGGGTCTTTTACGCATTTATAATAAAAAATGTCTCTATATTTGGCCTTAAACTTTCTATCTCATGTTTTTATAATTGTGAGTTTTTTATTTTTTTGCAAACAGTCTAATTATCTGAATGTTGGACACTATCTCTTTAAACTTGTTTTATAGCTCTCAGAAGCTTGATTACAAGATTGCTATTATAATTCAAAAGTGATAGTTTTTGATTACTAGTACCTTTTTGAAATATTTGTCAGTTTTCCCTACGGCACATTTTTAATAACAGTTTCATGTTAGCTTTTTTGTTACAATTTTTTTAGTTGTCAAACACAGTGTTCTACATATGTTTCTATGTAATTCTATGGATTATCTATGCAATTCGTTTTACTAGAATCTAGTGATGGCACTGCTGAAAAAACTGAGGTTCAAGAAGAAGATGAAGGTCTTGGAATACTACCTGATGTATCTGCTTGGACTAAAGCAATAGAAAACACAGTAAGTCAAAATGTTTTGTAATTTTTATTTTATGGATTTGTTCAAATGCCCAATGAATCTTTTTCTCTCTTTTGGAGTTTTCTTAATTGCTATATTATGATAGTGGAACCTGTCTAAATTGACCACCCTCGGGACCAAGTCAAATGGTCACTATATAGAGGTGGTCACTTTATGAAGAGTCTTTAAAAAGGACTTTTTAAATAAAACTTGCAGAAAATGGTCACCTTACTCAGATTCTCACTTTACCCAGGTGGTCACTTTTACAGGTTCCACGTATTTAAGAAGATTTTCAAATTTTGTTTCAATTAATTTCAAATGTAATTTTCAATTCCATGATGTTGGGTCTAGGTTTTGTCTCTTTATGGAATAATGTATGTGTCATTTGCAGTACAATACTTCTAAAACATCATGCAAAACATTCATCTGTTACATTCGCATATAGCTGATACACCTTTGTGTGTTTTATGTGATAGTGGATGGCCAATGATGGCAGAACATTTGGACGAGTGTGAAGTACTGACAGATTTTTCTTGTATATTTCAACGCTATTGGCAAGCAAGAAGTTTAATGGCCTAACGGCTAATGTAACTGGCATTTGACAAATAAACATTCGAAGTGTATGCAATAAGAAAAAAGTATGCAGAAAATATATAGTAATGCGAACTGTGAAACAGAGGCTTTGCAATATGTATAATATTATGTTATATAGATAATTTCATGTCATCAACCTTATCTACTAAGCGTAACAACAGATATCTGAAACAGATCAATATTAATGTTTTAAAATAAATCTTAACTATAATTAGTTTTAAAATATATATACACTTAAGTTCAGCAGAACTTAGATTTAATATCATTCAAGAATAAGGATTTTCTGCTTTTAGCATCTTTTCAGCTTGCACCCCTTTCATTTCTTATATCACTAATGCAAAACAATCATGGCATTTCGTTATGCTATTCGACCGTAATAAGAATCATTTGCCCATAGTCGTCGATTAGAATTTATTGGCAAACACGTTCACTTATGCTATTTCTTTTAAATACTAATGAGTTGGAGTCTTGCACTACTTCTAATATCCAACAAAAAGGAAAAATAAACATGTAGAAGCTTTAAGCTTGTTTATCGTTAGTTGTATGATTTGTGATTCAAAGGCAATTTCAATAGCTGAAATTGTGGTGATGAAGAAGATTGCATACTTCAGATGTCTTGAAATTGTTCGAATTACTTTAAAGAAAAAGAGAAACATAGAAGTGTCAGCTTTTTTTTTCCAATTAAAATAATGTAAATTTTTCATTTTTGCAAATTTTGTTTCAGATTGTATTTAGCAAAATATAAGTAAATTTGTTCGCATTTAAATGTTGGTTTTCATGTCCCTGATATAGGAATGTTCCATTATTTACAGGAAAAAAGTAATCAAGAGTATTAGAGTTAAAATCTAACAAATTTATCAATTTTGATTTGCTTTAGAGATTGTAAAGTCAAAGCAGTTTGTGAAGAAGTGCTGTTTATTGAATTGCATTATATAGATCTGATACTGTATTTCTTTCTATAACATTTTACTATGGGCTACTAGTAAATGATACGTTTTTTTTAATTTGGAAATATATAAAATCATTGCATCAAGTTAATTGTGATTAAAATTTTGTTTGTGTTATGTACCAATTTTGATAAAATGTCTGTGTTTCTAGGGCTCTAAAGTCTTAATGGGAGGTTTAGATACTTTGGAGTTAATCGGCAAAAAAACAATGGATATTTTGACTGAAGGGGACCCAGGATTGAGGAGCAAGCGTACTTTATTCACAGAACGTGTTAATCTTTCTCAGGTATTTTAGAATAATTTGTGTCGCTTTGTCTATTTGCTTTAAAACTATTACTAGAAAAAATTAATCTAGTTATTATTGTAACTTTGATATCACTTTTTGATTGATGTCATCTGATTCCTATTTGGCATTTAAAGTGAGAAATATCTATCTACATATACATACAATACAATGTTTTATCTCCATATGCCCGTTTTCGGGAAGTGTCTAATTTCCGGACATTTTTTATCCATCAAAATACATTAAACTTTATCCTTTTTTAAATTTTTTTTTCTTTTACCATCTATTAAAAAGAAGTAGTATAGTATCTGTAAAAATAGTGGCGCTTTGAGACAGAGATGAAGAGATCAATATGCATCATACCAGTTACTTTGCTTCCTTCTTGTTATCTGCACAGCACACTCAATGCAGACAAATCACTGATAAGTCGAAAATTTAAAAACATTTGTATAATGTTGCAGTTTTCTCTTCACATCTGTATAATGTTGTTTTTCATGTTAAAATTATCATTTTAAGTTTTTTTTTTACTGTAAAGATCATTTTTGAAAAAAAAAACCCAATCATGTAGTAATTTTTTCCCTCTTTACAGATTCTGAGAGAAGCTAAGGAGAAAGCTGATAAAGAGAGTGAGAATAATTGTGCATCAGATATTGATGTGATTCATTATAGTCAAATATTTGATGACCAACAGGGATTAGTTCATCTTGAGGCATTGGAAATGCTTTCAAAACAAACTCAAGCAAAATTTCAGAGGCTGCTCATGAGACACTCAAGAAAAGAAGAAGTTAAAAAAAGAATAGAGGAAATTAAGTCCATTTGTGAAAATATACCTGGTCTAGATGATCCTTCGGGTATGTAGTTACTTTATCTTTAACATCTAGCAAAATTATCATGATTTATATTTCTCACTATCATATGAATATTTCTAACAATTCTGTCTCTGAGTGTTATTGCTTTTTAAGGGCTTAAAAAATATTTTTTTATGAGAGCTGTGAGTTTAAAAAATATATTTAGAAATAACATTGATAAACTTTATCTAATTATTAGCATTAAAGTGACATAATTTTCAGTAGAGAAATAATAAATTGGTGATTTTTTTTAAATAACTGGTATTAACATTATAGAAACGTTTGTTTCTATTTGTATTTGATTTAAATTTCTCTGAATTATAATTAAATTAAAATATCTGGGATGGAAAAAGGCAATTGAAAATATGGATCCATTTTGACTAACTTTGGTATTTCATTTTAAATATATCTATATGCCAATAGCATCAGCAAAAAATGATACTGCATACAGAACTTTGATTTTTTAAATTTTTTTTTAAGAACATTTTTACTGTTCATAAAAAATTACAGTTATGATCAAATTTTTAATCAATAAAAAACTAAAATTAATGAAAAAATTGGGATTTTATTGAAACACCATTCAGAATATGCTGTTATGTGTACCCCCTCCACTACACCACTGCTATATTTATATGGCGTGGCATAACTTATTAAACCTTTGTTTCAGGTATGAAGATACAATTGTGAGTGAAATTTTCTATCAGAATGGTTTAGAGAGTTTTTTAATTGTCAAATATTTGTTATTTTAAACTGCAATTAAATATTCATTTAAAAATGTATGCTTACTTTTAACAATTTTATAATTATTTTCATTATTAAGGTGAACATTTGGATATCTTATTATCGTTTATCAATGATCACTTTTTAAAAAAAAATATAATGCATACAAACTTATTATTTAATAAAGGTTTATGTTTAAGGATAATTAACAGATATTTAGAATTTCCTCAATCTTTTATATGAGTCAATATATAATTGTAATGAATATAAAATTCTAATTTATTAAATGATGAATACAGTTTTGGATCAAAGTTTTTAAAATTAAAGCTTAAGCATCAAACAATTACACATTGAGACAACAATTTTAAAAAATAATGATACATTGTTTTATGTAAAATTTCAGCTTTTTTTATAATTAACTTTTATAGTCGAACCTCAATATAATACATTTGGAGGGGAAAGGGAGGTACTAAAATTATGGGGATAATGAAAATTGAATATTTTTTAACTTCAGTTAAAATAATAACTTCTGTTGTTTTAAAAGTTGTATGACATGTATTTATTTAAAGGTTTATTTCAAACAATGTGAATATGATTACGTTTTAAATAAATTCTTCTGTTTGCCATCTGATATATCTCAAAATGCCTTAACCTCTTTTAATATTTCTAATTCTTTCTAATTATCTGTTTGCACATCTACTTCTTTAATAATGGAATTCAAGCAATTTCTTACCAAATAATATGGTAATCTTTTCTTATTTGGGTTTCAGGAAAAGTCATTCATAAAATTGTTCGAGAAAAGCATTTTGAATTCTTCAGAAATTAGGTTACAAAATTTTGGGGATCAAAAATATTTCGTAAAATTAAGGATTTTTAAGCCAAAAAATGTATTAGGCTTAAAAAAGGTCTTTTTCTATAAAATTCACGTATTGCTATTTTTAAACAATAGTGTTGTTCATGCAACATATTTTTTAAATATGCAATATTCATTAATTTAAATTTTTTTCAGAGTGTGAGGGATTTGAGGATTTTGAGTCAGTGTTTAAAAAACATGTACTAGAACTAAGTTTACCTTTAAATGTGGATAATATAATAAAGGTGAGTTATCTAATAATAATGGCAATATATTAAAACAAGTTATTTTTGGCATGCAACGTGTGCCCTTTTATCCTCTGTGTTTATTATGTATGAGAATAAATATACAATGGAAGATTAGTATGCCTGAGTTCATGGCATAACACTAAAATACATCCATAAATTGTAATTTTTTTAATGAAAGATAGGATATTGCAACTATCTATGCTGTATCATTGAGTGCATAAAGCACGATCCAAAATTTACCAAACGAAATATCCTATTAAAACATTATTTTAAAAACCATGTTAAAATCCATTTTAATAACTACCCAAAAACGATTGTCAAAACCACACGGATTCGCTGTGGAATTGTCGCTAATTGATGATTACTTGTTAAAATGCCTGATTCAGAATTTGCAATATGTTATAATGGCATATTAAAATATCGAGATTTTATGAACCGTATGGAAATCTGTGACAAAAACTGCAAAAATAGCACAAACCACGTGTTGATTGAAATTGATGTTAATTATCATCTATTTGTTATTTTTTAATTGAATAAGGATGTTTTAATGTTTGTATCCAGAAAAATCTATTTTCCGAACTTGCCTTTACTTAATATATAGTGGGACTTTCCTCTGTATATGAAGTAAATCTTTCTTTTTATATTGTTAATCATTAATTTGTTTAGCATTGATACCTGCGAGGTTAATATATAAACTCTAAAACGTTTTAGAATTTATTTATCATTTTAAATAAGAACAAAATTTTATAAAATTAAGAAAAATTGTCTTTTGCTTTTCTCTATACATATAATATTTCGGGGGAAAAGAATAGTAACAATTATTACAAAGATTTAAATTAGCAAAATGGTACCCTTATTCGAAGAAAATTCTTTTCTATTTATATACAGCTTACTCAAGAAAATTTATCATAAATATTTTAATCTAAGATTTTAGACTGCTTATGTACTATAACTTCATAATTTTTTTTATTAATTTGTTAAGTGAGAACAAATTTAAAGACAAGAATCACTGCTGAAGAACGCTGGATTAAAAAATATCTGAACCTATTTGGATGTGAGATAAAACTTCATTTATTTATAATAATTATTTATATAATGAAGAATTATAAGTATAGTTACAAAGTTTTTAAGTAGTTAAATCTTTTGTTTTAAGATTTGATAACAGAGAGTAACTTCTCATTATTATGAAGGATTCATTTTATAATTTATAAGAAAAAAATATTTTAATGAGATATAAATTACACTAAAAGTAAGTTTTATTTATGATTCCCAAATGAAACTCTCAGATACGCCATCTGAGGAGAAGGCTCTTCCCTCGCTTTCTCTTCTCAGTTGTATGGGAATGTACTATGATATTTTCCCATTCCATAATATTTTTTCATATATAATTGTCAAAAATATTATCCTAAAATTTCCAGGATGATTTTTTAAGAACTATGTTTAATGCAGTTTTCAGTTCCATATAGTTTCTTAACTTTAAAGTTTTTAATCTATTTGAAAATCAAGACAGAAACTAATGTACTTCATTCTCATATGACTATCCACATGCTAATGGTGAAAACATGTGAAGTGTTGCCATAGGTAAAGAGTTCTACTCTGCGCCACCTTTAACCCATTTCAATCGTAAATACTCTAAAAAAAGGGAGAATTTTTTTTGTCTTTTAATTTTTACAAGGTGGCAGTATCATTAGAAACAGGCTTTTTCATTTCAAACTAACATATGCTTCCAAACAAATTGGTGCCTCTACCTCTACTCTTCTTTGGATGTATATTAAAGCTGTCTTTTTGTTATTTAACTAGGGTATGTTATCAGAAAGATTATTATTTAGTTGTAAAAACATGTTTTCTTTATTATTACAGACACAAAGGCAACTTTGTGAAACTCTTTCAAAGTTTGAGAATGTATCGGAAGAACCATACATTGATCCAGATGTAAGTCATTTTATTTCTGTATTTATTCATTTTAGAATTAAGTATTTAAATTACATGTAAAAAATACTGATTATTATATTGTTTATCATAACTGTTTTGCTGATTAAAATAAGTAGTTAAAATATGTTCTGTCGTTTTTCTGAACTTAAAGTTGATTGCTTTGCTGCAATGAATTTAATTTTTTTCAATGTTATTCAATGAGAAAATAGTGCTTAGTAAATAGACTATTGACCAGAGTTGTAATGTTTACAAGATTGGACATTGCTGTAGAAAGTTAAAACTAGACATTACCTTTGACAATTCAGTTTTTTAACAAACGTGGTAAAAGCTAGTATTATTGCATGCATGAAAATATAGAAAAAAAGGAGAAAAACAAACATAGTATCAAAGATTAATATCAGTGTATAAAGAATTTACATCATTGATGTACTTAAATACAGGAGTATTTATAATTTGATTCTTGTATATTTAGTGCGATCTATCTGTTAAAATAGCACCAAAGATAATAAAGATATTAAAAACACTACAGAAGGGAAAGATTTCATAATTATAAATAAATGAATTAAACAATTTCTCAACTCACCAATATAAGACAAGTGCCACTAGTTACTAAAATCATATGTAAATGTTAATCTGATTGGTTGCTAAAATATGAAACTCGCAATAGCTTGTTCATAAATCTATTACCTCCAAGCCATAGAACCAAGATAATTTTTTACTAGTGGGCTTCCTTTTATACTAACAACTTTAATCCAAAATTTTACTCATTAGTTTGTCTTTTTCTTATAATTAAATATAACCCTTTCAAGGGCAATAACCAAACTTTTCAACAAAAGATAAGCACCTTTTCAGCACTTTTTTATATATATATAAAATTAAAAAAAACATTATTGGGATATACACTCTAATAAATTTTTTTCTTCCTTTTGTTGAAAGTTCTTCATTTATATATGTATATACACACATAAACATTGTTAAAAATTTTGTATGATCATTATAAAATAATTAGTTCTCGACAAATAACTCTTTTCTTGCTTATATTAGCCACCATAAACACAACTTAACCAGAATTTTAAATATATTCAATATTGAGTTGCTCATTTTATTTTTTTAAAATTGCCTTATTTGATTATGTAAAAAAGAATAATTTTAATTCCTAATTATAATTAATCAAGCTATTATTTTAAAAAGTTATCTGGTGTATTTTTAGATTTTATTAAAAGTGACATATAAAAGTTTATTCAACAAAACGTTGACAAGATTAATATTATTGATCATACTGAATTTATAAAGATATGTAAAGAATTAAACGCAGAAGGCTTAATAAATTTATATTACATGTAAATTAGTGAATGGTCCCTATTAAATTATTTACTTAATTCAGTATTTCTTTTTATGAAACAATTGAAATTTTTTAAAAAATAATTTTGAAATGAAAACTCAATAAGTATTGAAATTAAATATTGTCAAAAGTAATTATTATATGATCCCTACATTCATAATTTTTAACAAATCCGAGATTACCATGTATGTTCACATGAGACAGAATTCATTGCAAGTGGACGTCATGTTTCTGTGAGAGTAACTTCAACGAAAGCAAGGTAGAAGTGCTAGTTGCACCACCAGTAGTAGACCACTTACTCAGGTGCGAAAGTGAGCTGTGACTGTTTTGACGAGATTCACAAATCACTAAACTCATCAAAACTTTAACTCTATTTATACAAAGCAAGTATTTAACAGTATGTCGTGCCTCAAAGCCCACCCAGGTTTATACAGGGTATCTGCTACATTTTAGATTTTCAAATTCATGACCTTCCATGAATTTTTCATGACTTACTGAAGTTACTACCTATTTTCTCCGACAAAAACACAACAATAAATTTAAAAAAGCATTATAATAACATGAATTGAAATGATAGGTATAACTAAAACTGTTATACTCTGCATCTTCATAATAATAGATTTTAAATTTAAAAAACTGAGTAAAGAGAGAGTTAAAGCAATAACATAGCCGAAAAAAATACAAAAGCAAATTATTATTTTTTCCTGCAGAATTATATTCTACTTGTTTATCAGAAAGGAAAGAAACACTGATTTTTCTGTTCTCATTTGGGAATAAAAAAAAATTGCCAACGACTGGCTTGCTTCAGCTAGAATTTTAAATTGATAAAATGAAAAATAAATAAAATTCTGAAGTCAGAGAAGTTTAAAAGATAATTCGCTCTAGAAATGAGGTTTTTTCTTTCATTTTTTGAAAAGAACACCATAATTTTATATTTTAATAAAATATGACTGTGAGTGGGGATTTTGTTACAAATTCAGATATTCGGTACACCATGAAATTGGGGGGTGGGGGTAAATTCCATAAAAATAGTTAAAATCATTGCATTTCATGACAAATCTTGTTCAATACCGAAATTCATGACTTTCCAGGTGTGCAGATACCTTGTTTATATCAATGGGTATCAGCTTGTTGAAGAAGTGTAAGTGTGCAATGTTAACTACATTGCTATTGTGCTTTTGGTCTTAAAATAGAAGAGCCTTAACTTCCATGACCCCCTTGTCTGTCTGGCAATCGGTTGTATTGGGAATACTTTTTTTTAATTAACCGTTGGTAACATTAGAAATATTTCTGTTCTGTTATCTAGACAAATCACTCAATTTCACTTTTTAATGTATAAATTATTTTTAAAAAATTGTCCATTTCAATGTTTTTTTTTTTTTTTATGTAGGAGATCTACCGATCTTCTATTTGCAGTCTAGCAGAATTCACTGCTCGTTGCATTGAAACATTTCATAAAGTTGCTGAACTTATATTAGTTCAAAAGAATTTGTCTCCTGATTTAGAACAGTGTGCTACTAATCTTACAGGGTATGAATTTGATTTAAAATTCTTTTCTTTGTGAAAGAGTGATTGCAATTCCTCCCCATATAATTAAAATTTTGTTTATAGATTAACTACGGTCATGGGTATTGAAGTTAATAACCTCTCTAGCAAGTATCATAAATGCTTAGATTCTTCAGGGGTAAGTAGTAAATTTTATTTCAATTAAATCTTAGTTAAATGAAACAAATTAAAATAATATAAAGTTGTAATAAAAATAGTTTTAAATTTTTTTTAATAAACTTTTTGTTTTGAAGAAAGAAGATTGATTGAATGGAGAAAAGGCTTTTAAAATAGTATTACATTTTTGTAATTAGTCAGTAGATAATACAAAAACTTTTAAACCCAACCTATTTTGCATGCAAGTCTTTTAAATTAAACTCAAAATTACCTGTCATCTCGATTTGTTTAGGATTAATTTTTGTATCTTTTCATCATTTTAATGAAATATTCCTATAGCAATGTTTGCTGTCAATTTTAGTATAATTTTTCAAAGCAGTATGCTATTTTTCTTTTCAAAATTAATAAATATAATTCAGTAAAAATTGAAAATAAAGCTGGATTGCTTTTAACTAGTAATATACAATTGTTACTTTTTTTTTCACATAACTTATATTTTAAAGATAAAAACACTTTCCAAAATATTTCCTCTTTGTATTTTGATCATCAAAACTATATTCTTATTTGTTTATGAGATGTATCCTTAAAATTAAAAAAAAAGAAAAAAAAAACTTTATAATTTTTTTTTTTTTAATGTAATAAGCATTTGTCTTAAGTCAAGCTTTTAAAAAAATGAAAAAAATACCCTTTCGAGCCGACTGTCACATATATGTGCCAGCAAGAAACGCGCTCACTTCCCGACCGACACACCCGCGTGTCAGAGAGTTTTCTCGTTCACCCCCGACCGTCACTTATTTGTGCCAGCGTTTCGGAACGTTTTAAAAAATGAGATTTCTTCCAAAAGATGGCATTGTATGTCCATATGGTTTCAGATACATGTAGATTTGACCTTCTACTCAAGATGAAAGTACAGTCACGTGGTTTTTAGGAGAAGGAGTGGAGGGGGGGGGAATGTTTTATGAGGGCTCTTTAAATTAGCACGTGATATTTATTTACAGTAAGTAAGGGAGTTTTTTTCTCTCTCGCTACTTTCGATTTTCGGATTAGTTTTCAGTGGATAATTAGATCTTGTAGGCTAGAATTTTTTTCTTCTTTTTACCGTTAGAATGTCGAAGCGTCGAAAAATTTTGACTGAGCTGGAAATAGAGGAAATTATGCAAAATATTTCAGATATTGATTCTGAAACAGATTCGGATAGTAGTGATAGTGACACTATAATGAAAATAAAATGTGTAAAATATACATTTAAACAAGAAATAACTTAAGTAAATAAAGTATCCATAGAAATATATCTAAAGCATATGTCACTTAAATACTCTACAGAACAATATTGAACAACGCGCTGATATTTCGGTAATTTCATGGAATTAGGCTTAACATTGAAAAACCCTCCGGCCTCAGCGGTAAGCGCGCTTTGCGTCGCAAGAGGGTTAAAGTAAGGTGTATAAGTTAGTTAATGCAACTGATATTTTAAAAAGACTTAATTTTTAAGAATTTTATGATTGAAAGTAAGCATGAACAATATTTTAGTTGGTTGAATCTTTAAATAAAACATTTATGGAAGAGGAATTTTTGTACTTAAAGTTAATTTTTTCAAATTTACCAAAATATCATGTGATATGTACTTTATTTTAAAATAAAATTTAACTTATTATATTCTTTTTTTTTTAATAGGATCATTTTCCAAATTTCATGAATAACCAAGGTTTGAACATCACAGCAATGGTGACTAATCTATATGTTGAGGTGAGTTTATAACATGGTCATACCTTGGCCATTATTAATGTTCGATAATTTATTTCAATCACAAATTGTTTATTTAGTTTGTAGTCTAAAAATCCTTATGTAGTCTAAAAGTTATACTGTAGTCTTTGAAAATATCTTTAATTGAATGTCTTAAGGTTTTAAAAAAAAATAGGTTTTTCTTTCAGTTAATCTTTCAAAAATTTATTTTACAGGCTTCTAATAGTAATAAATACATACAAGATGCCTTCCTAATGCTTGTACCTGTTCTTCAAGTTTGTTTGTTGGAAAGTATAGAGGAATAATTTAGTGATAAAACAAATGTAATTAAATTGTAAATCAAATTTCTATTTGTTCTGAATAAAATTTTGTATTGAATTAATTTATTATTCTGTTATCTTTATTAATTGATCTTAACATTTTCGTTCTTTTCAAAGAAATTATATTACAGATAAGGGTTTGTATTAAGTCTTAAAAAAAAAACACAAATTTTTTTTGCCATTCAATAAAAGTTATTCAAGGTCCGGCTATTAATTTCCAGGACTGACGTAACTGTAGGAGAACGAAAAGCCGGAAGATGGCGCTAATGATTGCATATTGAAGAGTGTTTTCTTGCGCATGTGCAGTGCAATCGGCACCATACTGAAGTAAGTGGTTCTCATGGAAAGGCGCATTAAAATGTAGCTCTTAAATTCTTGTTGTCGGAGTGAAAATGGAGCAAGAATAAACATTAAATGTTGCTTCAAATTGGGCAAGAGAGCTGCGGAAATCTACAAATTGCTAAAACAAGCTTACGGCGAGGAAGCATTATGTAGCTCAAGAACTTTTGAATGGTTTAAAAGCTTTCGGGGCAGCATGGAAGATGATCCTCACACAGGTCGGCCGCAGTCATTACGCACGCCGGAAGCAACTGAAAAAGTTTGCTTCCACACATTGCGTTGCCTGTGAGGAGATTCTTAGCCCAGCATGGTGTTGTTGAGATGCAGCATCCACCATACTCTCCAGACCTAGCAACTGCAGATTGTTTCCTCAGCTGAAAAATTCGCTGAAGGGGACAAGATTTCAAGATGTCGAAGCCATCAAGAAGACTGTAACGTCACTATTAAAGAGCATTCCAAAAGAGAACTTTAAAACTTCTTTCCGAAATTTGTACAGCCGAGCACAGACGTGCATTTCGGCTGATGGGGATTACTTCAAATAATATTAAATGGCTATGTGTTTAATTTTATTTTCTTCTGAGTTATTCCACGAGTCCTGGAAATTAATAGACGGACCTTGTATTATTTTAATATCCATTAGAACTATTCATTCCAATATAGCGACTGTTTTCTGCTACACCCATTAAAATTTATATGTATATAAGAGTCGAAAATTTTTCCAGTTCCATTGTCAATGACTCAACTGATTTAACTCAAGTTAAAAGAAACTTTTCGGCCGGGATAGCCTGGTCGGTAGAGTGTTAAACCCATGTCAGAGGTCGTGAGTTAGATCCTTGCTGGGAGAAGACTCTTCGTGTACAGAATGACGACGGTCTTTCAAAGTTCCCATAACAAATCAATACCTATGGGGGTACTGAATTGGAGATTGATTATGCTCTGGTAAAGGTTAAAATTACGATCTGCCGATGGATGGTGTGTGAATGTCTCCTCTCTGTAAAACAGGCTTTGATGCGCCATAGATGGTGTCACTGGAAAACAAGAAAAAGCTTACCCCTTTGCCTTAAAATATGTTTGTCGGCATTGACAAGTGGCAGAAGACAACAAAACAACTTTTTTTTAATGTTACCAAACGTTAAATATAACACATCTTTTTAATGAAAGAAGAGTAAAAGCCCCCGAGATTCTTATCCTAGGTAGTCTTGATTAAACGGTTAATGTAATGAGCTGCTTCCGATTGATAACACTGGGGAGTAATTTTTCATTGCATTAATACAAGTACTTGATCTTCCCTAATTCGTATGCGGGGATTTTGAATCTGAAACTAGTTTTGTTCGGAAAGCTACGAATATTTTTTAAAAATGATATTTTTAGTTAATTTTTTTTTGTCTGAATGTACAAGTTTATAAAGAACTAATAGGTTTACATGCATACTTATACACTTGTCTTCTCATTTGAAAATAACACATAATCTTAACTCATCGCATCATAAACTAAAATATATTATTGCCTTCTACCGAGCACTCCCTAAGCAGCAATGAATAGGGAACACCACTCAATACTAAGTAAATAATAAAAAATCCTCCATTATTAAATTATACTTTGTAGAGAAACAGATAGCAGATTTTGAAACAGCGATACGAAAATATCTAGGATTCATTCAAAAATCTCATGCAACAGAAAGGAAAGAAAAAAAAAATGTTCCACAGTATAATCAATAGAATACTACAATACAAAGGCATGAAGTCTAGCATACATTCATTTATTTTAAAAGGGAGCAATCGTAACTTTGCAAATTTCTTTCAAAGGGAACAATAAATTTATCAATCACATATTTCTTTTTGTGACACGTTAGTCCCCTTAAATGGTTTATTTTCGAGATATAACATATGGTTTTGCATTTATCTGGGTATGTGTTATTTATCAAAAATGGCAGACCGGAACCATACTTAAATTTTTATTTAATAATAATAATCTTAGATTTATTAAATTAAACAGCACTTTTACATAAATTAACATTAAAAAAATCAAGTTGCAATATTCTATGCAATTATGTTTCTTAAATTTTGTTCGAGTATAGATTTGCCCATGTATGTAAATATTTATGGTATTTTTGTACTCTCATGATGTAACGGCCTCACAATATGATGCACGTGTATCGATTGTAATTATTATGTTATTTACTAAGAAAAATCCATTCCTTTTAATAGGTAAATTAAAATTCTGTAATTATCTTTACTGTTCACTGCTTAAAATATTTTTTATGATTACATTTTGAGATTTAAAACTAAACTAGTAAAATTTGGTAAGAAATATATTTTTTTGAATGCAAAAATTTAATCAGTTTAAAAGTCATCTATTTGGGAAAGCTAATCACACAAAACTCTGAATTGAAATCCAAGTATTACATAAGAGTGAAACACTTATTGCAACGCCTTTGTGAATTGATTTTTTTTATATACACAAATATAGTTTTTTACATAGTACAAATTTTCACTAGAAGATATATTAAAATATTTTAAAAAACAAAAGTATGAGGTTATTAATTAGAAAGTAATAGACAAATTCTTTTAAAGACTTAAAATAATTTATTTTACAGATTTTAAAAAGTAAACATCTAAAAGAAAGTGAAGAAAAAGTATTTTATGTACTAGTCCAACGTTTTCCTCTTTTATTTCCAGCAGGAGGTTTCTGTAGTTGAAAGGGCTTTTGATTATTCAAGGCAAACTGAGATTGAGCAGAAGTATCACTAGCAAAACCAGTTGCATCACCGAGACTAGAACTACCAAAAGGCACTCCAGTTTGACCTAATATTATTCAAAATTATCATAATTTCAGTTGTAAAATAGAGCATAATATTGAAGGTTACTATAGCATTTGCAATATATAATTATAAATAGCCAGTTTCACACTAATTTAAACAAAAGAGGTTCTGTCCCTTTTAAAACTAATTTTATGATTTTAGGTACACAAATCTTGCTAAAAAAATGCAAAATTAAAAGAATTCGAATGAAAACCTTCTTTTTTTTAAAAAAAAAGAAAAGGGCTGATTGATACAGACTGAAATTTCAACTATATTTGGATTTTCAACAAAATAAAACAAATATATGACACAATAAGAGTATAAATACTAAACCTGCATAAAGAAGGAAATTAGTCGAAGAATATTAATATTAATTTTCTTTATTAATATATTATATTATTTCCCTATATGAATTTTATTTTATTTACAGGGGAGAAAAAACTAAATTTAGGAAAAATATTGCAAAATCATGTTTAGCAAAGAAATTGCGAAAGAAATGACGAAAACCGACAATTATAAATGAAAACAGATATTACAAATAAAAACAGCAAATTGAGACAGATTGAAGACTTAGTTGCATTTTCAGCATAATAAAGCAAATATATGACCCAATAAGTACTTAATTTAGTATTAAATACTGAACTGACATAAAGATGTAAATTAGTCGAAATTTTATAGAAATCACAGCACATTAATTTCCACTTCTTTAGAGAAGGGAAAAGGTAAATTTAGGAAAAATACTACAAAATAATGTTTAGTAAAGAAATTGCAAAACAAGAAATCCTATATGTGAAACTTTTTTTTTAAAAACTATTTCTTTCATTCATTATAACTTTTAACATGGTTTGAAAGTGATTATTTCAAATCATGTAAGGGATAATTTTAACATGATTTGTTAGGAAGGTTACTTATAAATGGAAATCTATCAGTATCCCTCAATCAGTCACATTCTTGTTCACATTGAGATACAAGGATTATTTTTTCTTTGAGACAACCTTCTGACTCTTCAGAAGGTTCCCTGCATCTAAAATAAAATACTGGTTTTCTACCATGTTATTCAATGCGAAAAAAAGGCATAGCAAGAAAATTTCAGTACAATTTAGATGATTAGAAATAAAAATTATAGTATTCTGCAGAAATTGAGTTTTCTTAATTTCTGTAAAGTATTTTTTTTTAAGACTAATTTTTACATACTCATTATCCGACATATTCATAGAATGTAAATTACACAGTCATGTAAATTTTCCAAAAAGTAAAAAGGCATTCAATTTAAAAAAAAAAAAAAAAAACTTTTTAGAATTAATTGTTACACTAAATATTGGTCTACTTGCAATTGGTTCACATTACCTACCATTTTTTATGCTACCAAACAATCAAAATGTTATTGATCTAGACTTTGTGAACTTGCTTCTGTATACCACTTATTACATTAACAAACACAACATATTTTTCCTTTTACATTATAAAATATACTTTTGTGCGATTTTTTTTGTCATTAATCGTGCATCATTAGTTAAAAATTAAAATATAAAAATCATTTAACAAATAAAAACAAAGAATTCTAACAAATAAAATGAAAAACAAATGAACAAAAAAAAAGAAAGAAAAAGAAAGAAAAGAAAAAAGAAAGAAAAGAAAAAAAGAATAAAAATTTTCAATTATAGTTCCATCAACAGTAGCAGTTTAAGAAATTAATAAACTGAATAAATAATAAAACAGAAAATTTAACTAAATTAAAGGATTAAAACGTGACAAAAACATAATTCTTACCACTATTTACCTAGTGGTTTAAATGACGACAAATTTTGAAAAGAAGATGGTTTTGTAGAATAAGTTAAGACACCAATTGTTTGTCCAACAGCAAAACCTGCAGAGAAAGTAAAAAAAAAAAAATAATAAGATGTTTGACTAATATAAGCATTAAAAAAAAGGGTGCTTTTAAAATATTTTTCACATATAAATAAATTTTTTTTATCCTGTTAAAAGTCAACTCAGATAAGTTTTTTAAAACATAAAATCAACTTAGATATATATAAGTTAGTGATTTTAAATACTTTATATAACAATCAGTTGTACTTAAGTCAGCCTTTCAAGGAATTTATAAATTAAATAAATACCTCTTCTAAAGCTATATTAGAGCAGACAGGCAACCTGTGCACAGAAACATGCCGCAATGTTTTGCAGAACATCCGGAAAAAACGAAATTCCAAAAAAAGTTTCTTTAATTGAACATTACTACTTTCCTACTTCTTTTTTCAAATTTCAAAAAATTTTTGGATTAGGATTAGACTATCCCCTTAATCCAATAAGACTGAGTTCTAGTTAAGTAAAAACGCGATCATTAGATCAAAAGTTATACTGTTTTTTGTTTTGTTTTAGAAACGCACACAGTATGTGTTGCTTTTTTTTTAGGTACTTACTTATTAGTATGTATTCACAGATATATACATATACTTTTAGGGTTTACTGTTGACTGAAGTAAATTTTGACATTCAAAGTCTAAGAAAATAGGTTTATTTTTGAAGATTTTTGAATGACTTTTGATGCAAAGGTCAACTGGAAAATTTTATGTCTTAGCATGATACTAGTAGAATATAAACTAATATTCAGTGCTGTGATTCATTCATCTCATAAAAAATAGTACCACACGTAAATATGTGTGTTTTGTTTTTCAAAATTCCGGAGGATTATCAGCTTAACCTCGAGTAATGTTTTTTCTCGCAAAAATAAAAAAACATTCTCAGTATCTAATTGTTTTACATAAAAACAAATACCCAAAATTTCAACAAAATTAAACGTGTCAAGTATCCAACCAGCCTCTTCAACTAAATATTCACATAACATACATAAAGTAAAACAAAATTATTTAGACTTACAAGCAGGGCCTTTATTAAAACCAACAATAATTTGCTGAGGTTGAAATCAATGGTGTGATTGTGTTCTAAGAGTTTTGGGATAGCAGTTTTAGTTCTTAAAAAGCAATTTTACATTTTTGGAACAACTTTCATAGTATTTAAACAAAAATTTTATTCAACTTGAATTTGGTCATTAGAAATCAAGCTTTTCTGATGCAGCCCCCCAAAAAATCTGTCAATAATACACATAAGAAAACACCAATTGGGAAATTGGTCAGAAAATATTCAAGCAAATCTGGAAAAAGTTGTTGCAGTTAAGACAGAAAGTGGTCAGTGGAGCAAAACAATACTGAAGGGAAAGGAGTTGACAAAAAAAAGCAAATGAATTTATGTAACTATGTTTTGTAAGCATTATAAAAAAAATTTTATGTTAAAATTAACAATGCAATCAAATAAATCACTGTAAACAGAAAGCTTGAATTTCAAAAGCAAATTTATAGCTACAAACTATCATTTGGAATGATTTAGATACAGTTTTTAAAGGAATTTAATAATCATCAAAATAAAAGAATTGTGGTCATGGCTTTATGAATTTATAAATGAAATGAACACTGTACTATTTCTGTTGCATTTTGGTAAAGAAGCAAAATTATTTTTAGTTATCTACTAACTTTCCGCTTAATTTACACAGTAAAAAAGATTCCAATTAAAATGCCTACTGAGAAATTCGTTGTACCTGTAACCTGTATTTATAGGGATAGAGCATCCATAAAACATTTTGCAAAAATTATATGGTTAAAAAAAACTCATTTTCACGAATCATGATTAAATTTTTTCCTAGAGAATATTCTATCGAAACCAGATATCAAGGAGTATCAATTAAGTCAACTAAATTATGCAGCATTTAAGAACTTTTTCTACGTTAATGAAGCAATTTAGTAAAGAATAAAATTTATATTAATTCAATTCTACACTTATTTAGAAAGAATGATTATTAAAAATCAAATGACTTATTTTGGAGACCTTTAGAGGTGGACTTAATAACTAGTAATTCAATAAATTCAGCTCACTTATTTTTTGGGAAAAAAAAGACCATTTTCAAAAACCAAATGATTCAAAACCTAACTTCGGGAACATTAGTAGTGGATTCAATTACAATTAAGAAACAGAAATTAAGATTTGAAATTTTTTTTTCTCATTTATTTTAATTTTAGGAACAATTTAGTATTTCTTTTTAAAGTAATTTAATAAAATCTTGTATACTAAATAATGATTAATAAGCTAAAGCTATTCAATAGTTCATACATGAATTTTATAATAAATTGTTCTCTCTTTAATGTAAAACATAATTAAATAATTTAGTGTATAAAAATAATGAAAGAATATTTAAACCTATACCAATAATATTAAATGAGACTGGTTTCAACTAAAAACATTTTAACCCCAGCATTTTCAAACAAAATTCGAATTTCTAATGATTTAAGTGTTCCTCAAGACTTTTTTGATCAGTTTATTTTGATGCAACTTAAAATGCAACTGGGATGAATGCAGCTCTAATTTTTAAAATAATATAACAGTAGTGGTAAGATATAACACTTTAATTTCTTCTTATAAAAAAGTAGGAAAACTCACCCTTTTCTACACCAGAAAATCCAAGGTTTGCCAAGGTTGAACTGCCTGAAATAATCAAACAAAGAATATAAATAAAAGTATAATCAGCACATTTACTTTTTTCAATAACCAATAAAATGAAGCACCATTAATATGTCATTTGCCGTCTTAGTTCATTCTTAATCTATGTGAGGAAATAATTCAATTATATAATGGAAAAAGCAAACTATCAATTATGCACCTTTTTTTTTCTCTTTCTTTTAAAGTAGGTATATATGGCTCAGATTAAAAAAAAAAGTGAGTCTTTCAGAAGTTATTTTTCCTCTTAATTTCAGCTGAGAGAAAGATAAAAAAATGTAGGAGTTAAGAATTTAGGATCGCTAGACTGTTTGCTGAAAAAAGAACAACGTAGATGCAACAATAAGGCCAGTATTGATAATACACTTTGCATCCATGGGTGCAAGTTGGAAAGAAGGTCAAGACTGAAAATTTTTTGACTGATATACCTAACATACACAATACCCCCTCGACATGTGCAAACTATCTAAGAAAGCTTTACCATAATACATCAAGTTTAAATACTGTACAAAAAATATTTATTCATCTGTCTTTTGATAAAAGAACAACAAGACATAAGAAAGTAGACCAATAACGTAGACCTAAAAAGTATTTTTAAGGACAGAAAAAAAAAAAAATTCCTATTTCCGTCTTCGAGTCAGTCTTGTTCCGTCTTACTACCGTCCGCGGACATTTTCGAAAGACGGAAATCCGTCCTGGGGACGGAAGACTTGCACCCATGTTTGCATCTTTTGCTAACTGAATATAGTTCTCATATCTCTGAGTATAATGTTAAATAATATTTTAACTAGTAGAAAAAGGTCTCAAAATAATTACTTTGAGAGATAGAACTAAAATTCTGAAGGAGTTTGCCAAAAGTGTGGAACCAAGAAGAGTAGAATTAACAAATAAATAAATAAATAAATGTTTTGGGTTAACTTTTAATTAATACTACCTGAACTGTTTTCTACAATAGCCAAATAAACCAATTATTACCTTTACAATGAAGTCCTATTAATTTGCTTAACTTTAATTTATATCTAGATTAAATGGATCCTCTAAAAGACAAACAAACAGTGCTTTACTGTTAATGTTATTAATATGATGTAATGAAGAATTCTTGTAAAAACTAACCTAACTGAGAGCGATTGTAGACATTAGTAATTGCTTTCCCCACGGCACTTTGCATAGCTTTGAATGGTGAGGGTCCATATGTAACTGATGCAGGAAGATGTGAAGTAGGAAACAAATCTTTTGTTTCATATCTCTCTTTCTCTATGAGAGACCGTACATCACCCTGATTAAATCTCTCATTATACTCCTTGATGCGCTAGAAGAAAAGATTTATTTTTTTAAATAATGAAAGTTTTATGATCTCTAAAAGAAGATTCTTGATCAAACAAGACATGTTAAAAATAGAAAAATTTATGCTAGGCTTTTAAAGTATTTTATCTGGATTTAAAATTGTTTATTTATCTGTTTATTATTATAACTTATTGCTTAATAATTTACAAGTATTTAGGCTTTTTTTTCCTTTCTTTTTGTTAACCTTTTTGCTATGTATTTTCATGATAAATTTAGACAAAGGTTACTGAACACTCTTGTATAAAAATGACTTTTTAAAGTAACTAGATTGACACAATGGCTATTTAATAAAATATATTTCTATTTCCTTAAATTCAAGATTGAATACTAACTCCTTCAAACAAAATAAGAATTACAAGCACAACAGAAGATATAAAACAAAAAAAGCTTCTGAAAATCGATTCGGTAATTTTTGAGAAAAATGCCATTAAATAGGTGATTTTGCCATTTTAACAGGGGCAGATAAAAACAGAATCCTCTTAATTTAAAGGTAAAGAAAAAATTTTAACAAATAAATTATTACAAGGCACACGCAGGGTTGCCATAGAAAAAAATTTACAAAATAGTTGCCTTTAGTAGCTTAAAGCAGGAAAATAGTTGTCGAAAACTATAAAAATAGTTGCATAAATAAGAACAAAAATTTTTCAATAATATGACTAAAATTTTATTAAATGACTGAATTGTCATATATCATGATCCATTTAGCCAAGTTGGTGGCAAATATGATAAATTTTATCTAAACGTTAGTGTTCTAGTACTGAATTTTTATATAAAAAAAATTAGTATATTTGCAGAAAATTAAATACTTTTAATGACTAGAATTCATTTAAAAAAATACTTTTTCATTAAAAAAAACATACTTGGTCTGAAAAATTTCCCCTTTTATCAATAATTGATTTAGCAAATATATATTTATGCAGATACATATACATACATAGGATCGAGACCGAAAGAAAATCGAGAAATATATTGTGAAAAGAGATAAGTGAATTCAAAATTCATGCACTGTAATATCATATTAAAAATTGTGTTTTTTAAAATCATGCAGAATTTTGTAGCAATAACCGTTGAAAAGAGGATCGAGAAACAAAATAGACTTACGATGGAATTTGTGCATATTGAGAGCATTGATGACACCAAATTTGCAATTCAAAATTCTTTTTTTGTTTGTTCAGAAGCTCCTGTATTGTCAACCCAATTTATGCTAAGAAATATTGCTATGAGTACAGAAAAGTCTCTTTTTCATGAAAATAGTTGCTTACTTAGCCTTTTCAGGGAAAAAAGTTGCCACAGTCGCCTCAGGCCAAAAATAGTTGCAAAGATTCGCCTGTGGCAACCCTGCACACTCTTAATTTTTTTAAGTATTAAAATTAAAAAGCATCTCCTGCCTCTACCTTATTACCATATTTAAAAGTATTAAATGGACTCAAATAATTTTACAAATGCAGTAATACAGTATTCCAATTATAGTAAAAAAAAAATAAATAAATAACTGAGCAAAAATTAAAGATGATATTGACAATATATATGAATTAAAATTTTAAGCTGATGCACATCAAAATTATCTGAAAAAGCAAAGCTTGTGCATTCAAACTTTTAATTTAAAAACAGTTTAATGTGACAATTTAATGCTGTAAACAGGGTGTGTAGTCAGATTTTTCAACAAAAAATAAGCACCTTTTAAGTACTTTTTAAGCACTCAGTAAATATTTTTAACCACTTTCCAAAAAAAATCATAATTAGGATCTGTGCAGTATTTTTTTCTATGGTTTAAAGTTCTTAATTTATAAACATAAAATCAATAAAATTCAAAAACATTTTCAAAAACTTCTCTTATCCATGATAAAATAACTAGTTTCTGATAAATATTGCAGAGAAAATTGTGAAAATCATGAAATTTTTGTAATTTAAAACGACAATCAACATGGCAAAGAAAAAAATCACTTTTTAAAAAGATAGAAAACTAAGCACTTTTTACAAACCCCGAATAAACCTTAAAGGGCTTTTAAAAAACGTAAATCAAAAATAAGCACCTTTAAAAACGCTATGCACCCTGTGTAAATTAAAAAATAATAATAAAGCATTAAAAATGTTCAAATTCATGTAGGAAAAACACAAAAAAAAAAACAAGGGGATAATTAAAAGAAAAAAATCAGGTGGAAAAAAAATAAAATATAGGCGTAATATGAATACCTGAACTTCTTGATGAACTGTTTGCAATTGTGCTGCTAAAGTTACAAATGTATCATGCAGCCTTCTTCTTATTGATGTCCATTCTGAAATTTATCAAGATCAATAGTTTAGTTTATTTCTGCTATTCAAATATAACAGATTATTATCACTAATTCCTAAAAAGTCCATAGCTTAAAACCATGTAACAATACCAAAATTTAACAAAACATAAATCCAAAATTCATCTTTGATATATCCAAAAGATACCTTAACAAAATTGCATTGACTGTTTTCGGAATTATTTTTCAGAGATAGTTTAACCCCGTAATGATCGGTTAATTTTCAAGAAAACGGTCATAAAAGTGCCTATTTTTTTTGGTTTTTGTATTTGTATTACGTATTTGATTAGTGCTGCAACCAGTTTAAAATAAACTAACTATCTACAATTACCTTAAAAATATCCTGTTACTGCCATCAGGTGTGTAAAATGAGAAATAAAATGTTTTCCGGGAAAAAGAAATGAATTAGTTTCATTCTTATTGGCACGTTACTACTGAACACTCTAGCCCGTCAATATCACGGGAGCGAGAAGGAAGGGGTTAAGCAGATAGTTTACGTTTAAAAGTTCTTCAATTTTGATACGAAAAAGGTATTAGTTGCATTTTCAATTAAGTGACCATAATCTGTCTACCTGATCAGAACAGAGGCTAGAGATGTTTGTAGCTAATGAAATAAGTAAAAAGCATATTTTAGATGTTTGTGTTTGTTGTTTTAACCCTACTTGAAGTAGTTTAACCTCATTTCGTCAGATCTCCAGACAAATGGTGAGGATTCTTTATATAGAAAGACTATACAATTAATGTTATAAATAGCTAAAATGAACAATAAAAAAATACAAATATTGGTATAGAGTAGAGAACCAATTATCCGGAATGCTGGGGACTATCACTAACCCGGATGTCTGATTTTCCAGATTTTCTCGATCACTAAAAAATCATTCAAAACAGCTTAACTATATTTCTACTTTAATATTGAATTAAAAAATAGCAGTGTTCTAGCTGTTTAAGTACTCTAATTAAAAATTTGTATTTTCAATTCAATCTTTTTACTTCAAAGTATTTTTTGAAGTAAAAAGATTGATTTTGCTTTAAAAAAAATTGTCAAAAAGGTCTCTGTTATATCCCGCAATCAACCTGGCAGAGACTGGTTTTTATTTCTCTGCTTTAGCAGTTGCATTTTCTTAGATATTACGTCATTCCATTTGGCTTTCAGGCATCGAGAATTGGAAGGACAGCTATTGGTTTTTCTATCAGGTAGGGAGCACTGTTTTGCAGTATTCAGTTTGCAAACTCACTGCTACATATCTATTTTAAGTAATGTCATGAGATTTTAAGCATAAGCTTTTGATGGGTCCTGTTTGAAGACATCTATTCCAAAGTTAAACTTCTTCTAAAAAACCATTTAAATATTTTACGAAAGAAAAATTCAAACTTTTAATAAATTAAGTTATTTTTCCACAAATTTTGTCAGAATTAGGTGGCGACAAGAGGGCTAAAACTAGTTAAAGAATCAATAATTTGTTTGTAGAAAGTTTGAGATTTTTGGTAAATTTAATTTTATCTAAGTTTGATGCTCTTTTACGTTCAATTGAACAAGAAGAAAAATAATCCCCGCTGTTTCCCCTTACGCAACTTCAAAGTACTATTCAATCATTCTAGTTCAAAAAAATGACGGGAAAGCAAGCTAAGTTTTTCCCAGATTTCCAAAAACCAAATGAAAGGTTTTATACTGTACATTTAACTATAGTATTACTTAATAGTTGATTAAAAAACAACCATATTTTAGCTATTTTCATATTCCAATAAAAAATTTGTGTTTCCACTTAATTTTTTTTTCTTACTTCATTATATTTACATAGTAAAGTATAGTGAAGTATTTTTTTTTAATTATCCTTCCACCTTCTGTTCACTGATAAGCATCTGTAATGCATTCTCACATTGTAAATCTAAGAACCCACACCTCTCTCTCTATCCAGCTTAAAGGAAGACTGGAATTGCTGCATTTTTCCTCAATCGTTTTAGTTCAAAATGGCAGGAAAACGCTGGAAAATTTCTTCAGGTTTTCTGAATACCAGATAAAAGTTTCTGTACTGTATTTACAAAGTCTGATTAAATACAAAAAAAATCATGCTGCCCCCAACAAATATATANTATATATATATATATATATAACACTAAATGGGGCTTAAAGGCAGCCTATTGTCCTAAAACCACTAAAATCTAACAAGAATCTTGATAAAATAATGTAATAATCAGTGGTCCATCAAAACAGAAACGAATCAACGTTAATCAAGAGTAAAAGGGTGGTATACCATTTGATTTTCTTTTTTTTTTATTTATCTTCTGATACTTGTTTCTGTCACAAAATCTTCAGTTTTTTATTTTTTAATCACAATGGTGAATATTATATTTTGTTATTTTTATACTAATTTCACCTTAATGACTACTTTTTTTAAAATATTTAATAAAACATTCTACCTTTAGTAGATAAGAAAAAAAATTAAACAATGCATTTGTAAAACTAATTTTAAAAACTTGTAAATATTTCTTTTAAAAATATTATAGTGGCATGTAAACAGACTAGTAAAAACATGTAAGAGAAATCTTTTATTCACTCGTCCTTAGGACCAGTAACTGAATATTCCTAACTTCTACCCCTGTTAAAAATGGCAGAAATGAAATTGAAAAAAAAGAAAGAAGAAAAGTTTAAACCATATTGACTTAGAAATATTTTTTGAAACCTAATTTGCAAAACAACCAATTTTTCATTGTTAACATTTCTCACAGTCAAACGGTTTTAACAAAGTGTGCATAACTGCTCAACATAAACAATCAAACACTAGATTATTTTCTATTTTTCTGAAAATCTAAGAACATTTTTTACTCTAAAATGTGAAAGTTGCCTTTCGCAGCATAATACAAAATGGCTTATATAAATTAAACATTGTCAAAAAAATAAATAATAATAATTATTAAAATAAGAAATTTCATACCTGTGGCTGTTAAAGCAACTGGCTGAGACAATGAAAGAAAATGTCTCTCCAACTGCTCTATTTGCTCTCTATAGGATTGCATTTGTTTTTCAAAATTATTGGCTAAATTATGGAAGTACCTGTAACAAAAAGCAGTATACATATTTTCAATGTGAGAAATAAATATATTTGTTTTGATAAGTGAATTATGTTTATATAGTAAAATAAATGTAAAATTTTCAATGAAAACAAATACATTCAAAAGAATAAAATTTAAAAATTCAATAAAAAAGCAATTTTTTAAGAAGAAAATAACCACAAGATTTTACGTTACATTTTTACCTTCATTACGTGAGATAATTACATAATTAACATTTAGCTAAATTTATGCGAGTCAATTTATATGATGAAACAGTGTACCATATTTATTAATATTTATAAAAGTATTAAAATGTATTTAACTGCACGAAAAAAAAAAAACAAAAATAATGAGTGTGAATATTTTTTTGGTTTATGAATTTGTATTAACATTCATATAAGGTATTTTCAAAAAAACATAAGGTATTTTCAAAAAAAGTAAATTTTAAAAATGTTTATATAAATTTAAAAAAATATATTTTTACAAATAACATGTAAATTTGAAACCAAAAACTTTGGAAACAGTTTTTTGAAAGAAAAAAAAAAAAAGATAGGTCACATTATAAACTAAAAAAAAGCACATACTCAGTAGGCGCACTATTTTCATACTGCAATGATGAGAGAGAATCCTTAGTCCTTTGTGCAATTTCTGCATTTTTTAGTTCCTATAAAGCAAGAAAATGTTGAATGATGGTTAAAATTCAGGTATCAACAAAATATTAGAATTAATTCCATTAAACCAAGACTGTAAAATATTTATATTGACTAAAAATTAAGATTTAATTTCAAAATTGTTTTCACATCAGAAATTAGTTTTTTTTTTTTTGCACGAGCTTTCAATTAGAGATATAAAATTAAGAAAATATAAACAAAGTAAAATACCAATTTTCATTAAAATGAGATACAAAGCAAAATATCAATTTTCATTAAAATGAGATACTTTGCTTCAAAACTGTCTTAATTTACAGAAATTTTGAAAGGTACAAGCACTGATAAGAAAAAGAATTGTTTTTATCATATGCTCAAGATTAAAATAAATAAAAATAAAAGCATGCTCAGAACTAAGTTTCAAACTAAACACCTGAAATCTTAGTTCTAGAAGTAGCCTGACATAGAATTAGAAAATTAAATATAAACCTAATTAACTTAAGTTTTTAATCCACTTTGAACTAGTTTCTGTAATATAATTAACACTAACTAGTAAATAACGACTTTCCTAAAATAAATATGATAAATCAAAAACAAATTTTACAAAAGTAAGTTGGATTTTTACTTCATTTATTTCAAGAATACTTTTTGGGAACATAAGTTGAACAGATCACTATTTAGGGCAATTACTATGTAAAAAATTTTTTTTGTTCCTTAAATACTTTCTAAAACAATTCAAACACGCCAAAAATATTTTATTTAACTAACTTGAACTGATTCTTCTTTCAATTTCGTAATAGCGATTGCATTTCTCTGAAGACCATTAGAAACAACTGATAGTTGCTGCTTTAAAGTGTTTACTTGCTCTTGAACTTTAAACATACTCTTACTAGAAACTCTACTCATTTCTTCTCTTACTGCCTTCTGATCTTTAACATATTTTCTGGAATAAAAAAAAATTAAAAAAAAGGAATTAAAGAAAAAATTATTTTCATCATCCTATATTACAGTTAAACAAATTTTCCTTAGACAAAGCATGATGGACAGAGTCACTTAACAATTATGTTTTCTATACCTCCTCTTTTGTTAATCTTTGAAGTTAGTAAGAAATTTAACTTTTTCCTTCACATAAGCTCTTTTTTTTACTTTACAATCCCTTACTGACTAAAGAATAATGAATAAGCATAAACATTTGTTTAGAAGAAATTTGGGTCCGTTAATGGACCCCTCACAAAATATTCTTTAAAGTTTCAAATTCCATCCAAATGTAGTATTCTAAAAAAATATTTCTACTTTTACAAACATCGTGTGCACATTCTTATTAATATTAAATCATATATTTTTTTTAAAAATAAATATTTGATCAATTTATATTTATTCATAAAACTAATAGAATATTATGTAATTAAAAATTAATTTCTGGCAATTTTTTAAATAAAATATTATTAATTTGAGAATTGTTTAAGTTTACTTAATGCGTAACACATTAAAAGTGATACATTACTAAGTTGTGTTATTTAAAATATGTCAATTGAAATTAAAAATGCGAGTGATTTTGTTTCTATTATTCGTCCGAAATGAATATTTTGTGTTGAGCAGTATAGGCTAAATACCAAATAACAGGACCCTATTTGCACAAATTCACAAAAGCAGGACCCTGGTTGAAAGAATGTGACTTAACGTTTATTTTATATCCACAAATTATGAATAGTTTTTTCATAATTTAACAAAAAAAGGACCTTTCACAAAATGTCTCAACAGACCCCTGTAAACATATTATATGAGGTGTTTTGAATTATCAAAGAAAATCATAATTTTGGAAATTTGTAACCAAAATTCTAATGCTTAATTTTACCCTTACAAAAGATAAAATCTATTAATATATTTTTTAAAATAAAAAAGGAATATTCTTAAAATTATAAAAAACTAAACTCAGTGGCTCGACAGCCCATGAGGGCCAAGGCCTACTGTGCTCATCTCAGTTTTCTTGACCTTGGGCTCTGGGGTGCAGGAGCAGATGTTCTGGTCAGGACTAATAAAATTATAGACAATTTTATAATATTAAAATTTAGAAACAAAACTAAAAAAAAAAAACAAACCTGTAAGGAGTACGTGCGCAAGTGCATTAGATATACATATGTATAAACTAACTTACTTAAATGATTCGACTAAAACAACTATTTCATTGGGTAATTGAGTTTCCTTTACGGCTTTGCCATCTCTAAAAAAAGATATATGATTATTAGAAGAAAAGTAAAGTGATTTTGAAGAATGAAAATGTTGATAACAAAAATCAATATCTTTAAAAAAAATAGAAAAATAAATTACTTTTTTGTAGAAACATTTTCCCCTGCAATAAAAGTAAAATCTTGTTTAATGACAATTTTATTATTTATCACTACAAGAGAAAATCATTCATTCAACCAATTTGAATAAATTTGTTTTGAAATATTACAATGAAAATTAGGACTTTGTTACATCTCAATCAACTATCAATATTTCAATTATAAATACTAGGATCCTTAAATTATCTAACTGTACTTGTACTTATCATTTATTTATAAAAATAATATTATTCATCTGCTCTCAGACATTTAAAATTAATTTAAAAATATTAAATTAAGTAGCCTCTTTTAAAAACATATAACAGGATTTTTTTTTCTTCAAAATATAAGTATCCTTATAAAAGATTATTGAAAACATGGGTAATTATTCATTTTATAAGTGTTTGAAATAGAACAATTATTATTCAGTGAAGTAAACATTTGTTATTTGGTCAAATTCAATTTGCCCCTTAAAACTGTACAAAAAGTTAGATAAAAAATATGATAAAAGAAACATGCAAATAATAAAAAAAATTGTTTATGATAAAAAATCATAAGTCTTAATGGAAACTACTAAACTAATTTAATAATTGAAGTTGATGAATAAAAAATTTTATGGAACGCAAATAACAGTTACTCCTTTTTCAGCGAAAGAAAATGTGCTATAAATATACAGTAGAGAACCGATTATCCGGAACGATCGGGACCATCGCTATTCCGGATAACTGATTTTTCCGGTTTTCTGAATCGCTACAAAAAGCCAATTTTTTTATTGTTAAACCCAACTTAAAAAAATTATATTTGGAAATAATTTTAAAAAAAAGAAAAAACGAAGTAATACACTAATGATTATTTCCAAAATGATAGTAAGGTAAACATCTTTCCAAAAAGAAAGAAAAATCCTAAAATCTTATGAAGAAAAAAAAAAAATTTTGAAAATGGCGGGAAAATTTTTCGAATTTCGTTCCGGTTTTTTGGTTTTCCGGTTTTCTGATTTCCGGATAACGGGTTCTGTACTGTATTATATTTTATATGAACATATTATATGAAATAAGAATACATCTGAACCTACAGTTTTTAATTCTTAAGGCTTTTTTTGAAGAGTCTTATGGATAATTTTTTGAAGCTCTAATAAACAGATTGTCACATTTGAGGAAAAAAGAAAAAAAAAAAGTTGTCCCATTTTGAAAAGAGTTGATATGTAAATTGTGATAGATGTAAAGTATATAATAGATTACGCATAGAAAAAAAATCCACCCATATAATAGGAAAGAACATTTTAATTTAATTAAATATGATGCTCATGAAGACTTAGTAACTGAACAGTAATACCCCATATCCCGAAATTTTTAGTTCCTAATATTTTATTTCTTCATTTATTTACATTACATACATAGTATTCTCCCATAGAGCGTTTTTTGAGGGGCAGCCCGCCCTGCTTACCCTTTGATCCCAATAAGTGTGTATTTTCTTTGACCTTTTGGTAAAAATAAGCGACCATCCCTTACCTTAAAAACACCTTTTTATTCAGATTCAATTTTGAAAAAAATTGATTCACTGTTTAAACAATAAATACACACTGGTAAATTTATCTGTGTTTAATTCTGATTACTATTACAAATATTTACTTTATTAATACACACAATATCATTTTCTGGGGGGGGGGGTTATTAATGAATTTTTTAGTGACTTTAAATCTTAAAACTATTTGTTAAATAAATACCTTTTTTAAAAATAAAAAAATGCACTTTTAAAAGTTCATTTTTGCATAATTTTTAGTTTAAATTACAGGGAAGAAAATTTTAAGTTGCTTATTTAAAAATTGCTGAGGATAAAATTCAGTTATTACATAATATTACACATTTTGATAAATATTTACGATATTAAGTGAATCCCCATTCAAAACTAAAAGTACCCTTTTCAGAGAGGGAGCGCCATGCCCCCCCTTTTTTTTATTCCTAGGGAGAACTTTCTCTATATATAATATTCTTAAGAACATGATAATGAGGTTTGACTGTATATTGAGTTTATTAATATTCATATCAAGAGAAAAGAAATTCACCACTTAAACTGCTTGAAGATTGCACGTCAATGCCACCAAGACCAATTGTTGCAGATGTACTGGGAAAATTAGTAGCAGAGGGAACTAGTGAAGTTCCAGTCCCAAAAGCAGAAGCTGTAGTTGTGGCAGGGTTACTAAAACCTTTAATGAGAATAAAACAAATTTAAAAATAAATATTAGAGAAAGTCTAATCTTTTTTTCCCAATCTATCAGTGTGTGTGTATATATATATATATATATATATATAGTGAAACCTCAGAAAAGTGGTTCCTCTTGGGACCGATATAAATTACCATTTACGAGAGTTGTTTGTTTACAGGGAGGGTATCCTAATAATGAAGTTTATCACAGTAAATTGTTTTTAGAATATTTTCAATGATATAGTAATAATTAAATAATCAATAAAATATTCGTTTCTGTGAAAAAAGAATGTATGGGAAAGTTTGATATAAATACATAATTCTAGATGTAGCTACAAATAAATGAATATAATTTTCCTATTAACACAGATATGCAAGTTAGTCCTATGATATTAAAAAGGAGCTCTCGATTTCAATTACCTATCCATCACGTGATAGGAAACATGGTTAATATCTCCTTGAAAGTAAACCTCCCGGGATTCACAGAAAACAAAAGAAATCGATGCTTAACTGTAAGATATAGGACCTATGGAGTTGATATATTCACAATTAATCATCTATCAAGTGTCTGAATAAATGTTTTATACCTATGAACACCACAAAGATTATATTTGTTTTCTCTCTCGCTTTTTTTTAATTTACCCCAGCTGTTTTAAATACAGTTTTCAAATTTCTAAGAAAATGAAAGAAAAATTTCAGTTGGGAAAAAGCATTGGGAGCATTTGAGACATCATTTCAGCTTGTGGGGTTTCATAACCTGCGTTGTCCAGATGAAAGGATCAAAAGATGCCATTGTCCAAATGAGTAGTATAACTTTCTCTCCTTTCTTAGAGAAGATAAGGCAAGATGACAGGAGAAGGATTGATTCTTTAGTTGTGAAATAGTTTAATAATATTTTAGATATTTATAAGGCGAAAAATTTACGCTTTAAAATGGTGAAAAGTTGCATTTTTTTTCCTTGCAATTTAAAACAGAATTTTTTTTTCCTTTCAAATTTAGAAAAAATAGTGTCCAGTTTGAAGAAACAGAAAATAACGTTTCTGGGCAAAGATGATTGTCCGTGTACAGGTACGGAAGTGCCCGCATTGCAGAGAATGTACATAATGATTTATTCATAGAACATTCAAAGGGAATTAAAAATATGTCCGTATTGAGAGGCGTCCATTTCGCAGGAGTGTCCATAACAGGAGGTTTCACTGCATATTTATAAAGTATTAAATGAAAAAATATACTTACCTCCAAAAGAAAAACCGGCAGATGGAATAGCAGTAGATGTTTGTCCCATTGCAGGAAAAGCTGATGTAGTTGTTGTGGAAGATGAAAAGAGTGAAGTAGAAAATGCTGGAGCAGTCTGTGTGGTTCCAAAAACACCAGAAGTAGTTGCAGAAGCAGATGCATTTAATCCTCCAAATGCAGTTCCAGCACCTTTTGTCACAAAACAGATTAATTTTTTTCACATTTGCAACTAAAAGTTTAAACAAACTGAAATATAAGGTAGGCAGAAACAAATTAAAAAAGAGTTATTTATACAAACAAACTCATATTTCCAATCTCATTTAATAATGCTTATTAATACGATTAATATGGCAGATTATATGACATTTTAAAGCACATTGTAGTTTAAATTATGCCTAATAATTCGAGGCAAAAATAAGACAATGTATGTACAATACATAAGAAGGTCTTTCCAGGATGAAGTCCTTAAATTCTTACTGTTTTGTCCCAAACAAATTCCAAATTTTTAATCGTCTTCGTAAGAAAATTTTATAAATTTTTAACATAATTCACTTTTATGCTACTTGTGTTGAATGATGTTGCTTATCGAATCAATTTACATTTATGTTTCTAACATGAAATACCTCCAGTTTTATCTACTTTCCAAATTTTTTTTCTCGTCTCATTTCTCTACCTTCTTTTCCAGTTTTTATGCATTTTGCGAATTCATGCAAAAATTAAAAGTTTAAAATTCTTGCAACTCCAAACAAGGAAATTTAGAAGGGTGAATCAATATTTTAATAACTTTATTTTAAAAATAAAAAAAGAGTGACAATTCTCACAAAGCTAGACAGGATTAGAGAAGTGTTAAATGAGTGAGCAAAGTAAGCTCGGATTGCAAAGAAATCTAAAAGAATAGTGAAAACAGGAGTTGAGAGCAGATGTGAATCTCCTAGAAAGAAATTGTACACAATAATTTAAAAAGATGCCAGCCATGCCATAACCTTTAGAGATATTCTTCCATTGTACAGGAGTTATTTATTTATTTACTACTTTTTCATGGGTAATATAGATATATAGATTTAATTTTACATAATAAAATCCCATATCCAGAATTGCCTGGACTCCACCAAGACCAGTGTTTTCACTACAGCGCGAGAATCTCTCATATTTTTTTCTTTTCTCGGCATTAAAAAATGATTACCATGAGAAATTTGCGCATTCTATAAATAAATTTCAAAATTCGTGAATTTCTCGCATTTTGGAAAAAGCTTCGAATTACGCCATTTAGAATAAAATCGGTTTCACTTTTCTTGCTGGATCTTTCATTATTTTCAACATCTGCTCTGTTATCTAGCTTCCCTATTTACCAGTATTGTTCAGAACCTTTTCGAACAACAGAACACAACCCCTCCGAACCACGGAACCCCTTCCAGAACACATTTCTCTGCAACTGCGTGTTTACTGTAGGTAAGGTTTCTTCATGTAAGATGTTAAAATTTTTTATGCACTAATGTAAGATGGACAAATACCTTGTAAAGGCAAAATCTTCTATGATGATGCACCAAAAATATTCAATGTTTTAAAAAATAGAAGACGTTAAAAATGTATTATAATTGAAAAAAAAATTTTTTTCAAGAGTTTTTATGTTTTTTAGTTTTTAGAAATCTCACTTAACTTTTTGAAATCTCACTCTGTTTTTGAGAAAGGGTGAGAAATTCTCACCCATTTTTTTTCTATGATGAAAACACTGAAGACCGGAAAATAGATTTTTCCAGATAACAAGTCTTTAAAGTAAACAAGACATCAAAACTTATTATTTAATAAAAAAAAATAAAATAGAATATAATTAACAATTATTCAATGAGTAATGTAGCAGAACAAATGTTTAGCATTCAGAAAACAAAGATAATAAACAATAAGGTTTACTCTTCTATCAAGATAGACATCTTGCCTTCTAACCCACAAGTTCAATAGATGCTTAGGCCATCACATCCCTCAATGTAAATTGTATTATATTAACTGTTTTGAAATCTAGGATTTATATTTTATGTTATAATTTGTCTGCTTATAAATTACTATTCAAATGCAATTTTTTTAAAAGCTTCTTACTGAAGTATTTTATTTAAGCTTTATTGAAATAATGTATTGAATGTAAGTTTTATATTAAGAAAAGCTTAAGTTTACTTTCCTATTTTCAATGAAGAACTATACTTTCGCACATCTCAACGTAGGAGTGCACAACCCTTTTGAGTTAAGGGCTTCTTGCACAGCAAACTGAATAACAAAAGGCAACATGCATATTTAGTCATGTGGTTTTGAACACATGAAAATTTTTTTTTTTTTGAAAAATAGCGAGAATGTAGAAAATTTTAAACCACACATTTGAGTCATCACTTTTTGAAGAGCTTAATTTACATAGATTAGATTGTAAATCTATGTTTGTTGATTGCTTTTTCCACCGTAATTGCTTCGGAATTTTGAATGTTTTTTTAAAAACCAAATACTTTAAATATAATATTAAGATACGTAGATTTCGAACTTGAGTAACCATTTTATTTTATATTACCTCGCTTTATTTTTGCCAGTTTGTTTACAAATTTCCATGTGGTTTTTAAAACTGATAAATTTAATACGATAATACAACTTGTGAGTTTTAAATTGTGGATTTAATATTTTGTAAATTTTTAATCGTACACTTTTTGATTCCCTTTCTTTACGACTATTTCTTCGTAAAACGTAATGATTTTATTTTTAAAGGTAGTTTATACTAAAAGTTTTTCCATGCGATTTCGAAAATGTCAAATTTTTACTTAGAGATCATAAGGAGATGCGAGTTTCAAATTGCACATTTCAGTAATAATTTTTTGACACGCTTTACTCGAACCGATTTGATCGTAAATCCAAGTTGTTTTTCCCCCTATTTTCGGCAGTTATTGCTTAAAACTTCCACGTGGTTTTAAAAATTAAAACTATGACCAGCGAATTTTAAATGGTTACTATTGACACGCTTTTTTCCTACTGATTTCATCGCAATTTAAGCGATTTTTTTGCAACTATTACAATGTCTTCCAAGTGATTTAGCCAAGCCTTGACCTGCACTGGGCTGTAGAGCCGATGAAAAATTTATGGTCATACTTACCAAATACACTACTAGTAGGATTACTTTGTGATGTCAAATTCAATGCTGCTGTATTGCTGTAAAAAAATTTAAATATCAAAATATTACAAAGCATAACTTTTTCAGATAAGAATAACATACAATACAATATCTCACATATAAAATTAGTATTCAACATAGGTAGGTACACTTCGATTATGGGGACCATGTGTGTGCATATATTATTGTTACATTAAAACTTATTCTTTAATTTCTATGCAAACCAGAATTTGGAGTTGTTCCTATATGTTGTTAAACTTGTGTTCATGGTCCTTATAACCAATAAGTACTTTAACACATAACTATAGATAAAACTGTCAAATCAAAAAGCCAGTTAAAAATCTAAAAAATTTTATTGATATATTGGTATAAATATTATTATTCATAAATTAAATAGCACATTACACAAAATGTAACACATTACATAAAATGCAATGTGCTATTTTTAAAATGACTTAATATTACTTTACTTAGAACTGCTTTGTTTCTGCAATGACAAAACTTTCTACCAATATGGTATTTATGTTGGACTTATGCTCCTGCAGATAACAAATGTTATAGTATAATGACTAGGAGTAGCAAAGGTATTGATATAATACTTTTTATATGTATTAATAAAATACTTTTTTGATGTACCTTGTCTAAGAAACTACTTATGATATCGCTTTGACATTTTTAAGGGATAGTTTAGATCACGGGTCGCCAAACTTTTATGATCATCGACCCCTATAAAATTTTTCGAAATCTCCATCGACCCCCATAAAAGCAATTTTCTGTTAATTAAAATAAACTTCTATTAGATACTGTGTTTGTACATTTATTTTATGATTTTAAGCATTTATTAAAATAATAGTACATTGTGTAACAATATTTTTATGAAAAATAAATTAATGCTGAAATTTAAATACCTTAATATTTATTAAATAATAAGTAATTATAAATAAGTAGAAATAATAAGTAAAGTAACTACAGATTTATTGCTTCTTTTAATCAATGAGATGGGTGTGCCTGGTGTTTTTTTGCAAGGTTCGTTATATTGGGTTCAAAATTGGTCAAATTTAATCTTAAATCCCCTCAAAACTTTTAATTTATTTCAGTATTTAGTTAAGATTGAATTTACGTGACTGGAACCGGCTTCAACCATATAGGAACTTGGAAATAATAGCATAAATGACTGAGCTATTTCGTAAAGTTTTACATATTTTTGCATTATATTTATATTTGTCCAAAATTAGCTCATTGTTAAATTTTTAAAAAGCGTCTTTGCTTCAAGATCCGATAATAATTCAGCAATCTCATCTTGCAGTTTTGTCACGGGCTGTACTAATCCATATTATTAATGCTTACCTTCTTTTTTACATGTATTGACTATTAAAATTGATATCTAAACTAAACAAATGGTTTTATTGAAACAATAACTAATTATCCAAAACTATAGAAGTTTTAATAATGACACTGCAAATATTCAACACTGTTCACAGTTTTAATAGGTGATAACTGAAACTGCATATGAAATTTTGGTTTGTAACGACAATGCTCGTCACACGTGACATTTGGACAAGCGTACATATGCATATGACTTTAAACCAGAAGTATAGAGTTCGTGCCACTGTGCGCTGGTACGTAAATACTTGTTTTACCAGAATAAATATATGTTTATTAATTTATGTTCTATAAAGAAACTGAAATTAAGAGTCAATTATAAAAAATTTCACAAATTTTACATACATATACCTGTAAAATTACAAATTTACAAAGTATCGACCCCCGCTTTTGATAAATAGACCCCTGGGGGTCTATATAGACCACTTTGGCGACCTCTGGTTCAGATTGTATCAATTGTATAATGTGAGAATGTTTTAGCGTTAAATGAAATACTTTTTGAGTTACGAAAGAGATTTGCTCAAAAATGATGTAACTTTAAAAAAAATTCCAAGTTTTCAGTTTATAATTTTTTAAAACTATTTCTGCCAAAGATATGTGTTAACACTTATCACAGTGTAAACATGTATACGTTAATATTCTGTGAAAAAAAAGTTAAAGCAATATTTTGTTTAGATGTTGAGAAAAGGTACATTGAAAAAGGTCAGTTTTAGCCTTAATGGTATATGCCCTACCAACTCCCCTTAAATTAAATTAAAACATAGACCTTCAACCAACTGTTTATTTAAATGGATAAACATGCTTCTTGTTTTAACAAAAAATTTAATAAATATTCTTTTCAGATGCTGTAAAAAAATGGAATTACTATAATGATACGTACAGCAAAATATCGAATTGTTCGGAAAATAATTTCGTCTTTCCGACAGAAGATTTAATTGTATTTTTTCGAAACCAACTTCACACTTAAGCCGCATTATCACGATGTTTTGAAAGCTGATATAGCAAGGCTTATGTGTGAAAAAGTTCAATTAATTCTACGCAGTAGTTTTTGGTTGGTGCCCTTTTAAATATGGAGAGCAATGAACAGCATTGAAGTCATATTTTACTTTCTTACTATAGAAAAGGTAAAAATGCTGTTCCTGCCATAAAGAAATTTACTGATGTGTTGACAGTATGCCAGTGACAGAATTGGTTTGCAAAATTTTGATCCGGCAATTTTGATATCGAAGATGCACCACGTTCTGGAAAGCCCGCTAAACCTTATAAAGACACTATAAAGGCATTACTTGATGCAAATCGGTGAATAACAACTAGAGATGCAACAGATCTTAATTTCGCCGGATAACGGATACTGGATATCCGGCCAATCTTTGAGCCGGATTTCCAGTATCTGGCCGCAGTACTTTTTTTGAAATAAGTATTTATATTTAATTGGACTAGACAAAACTATTATTTTTCTTTTGCTTATATGATTATATATTTCTTTTAAATAAACTTTAAATTAAAAGTACTTAACTTTAAATTTCTGAATATCAATAAATAACTATTATGTAAATAACACTTAGTTGAAGAATGCTATCTGCACTGAGTATTGTGCTTAGCTTAAATAAAATCACTGATAGAATATTTATTATAGCTAAGTAGGTGGCAGAAACAAACATCTGTTAAAGATTCAAACAATTCACATTTTTTATTTACTTTTTTTATTTCAAATTAATGTATATATTGTCATCACAGTATTAACCGTATTAATTAATAAGTACAATCATAATTACAAGGATTAATATTATTATTTTAATGTTAGACCAATATAAATTAATTTTAAAAAGCAGTTGCATGCAATGTTTGTATTAATAAAAATGTAAAAAATAATTATAAATTGAATAAATAATATCACATATGATCTCATATTTTGTTGGTATTTATAAAACAGTTCCTCAGATCGATTATTACTTTATTTTATTATTTATCTTTAATATAACTGCCAACCATTCAGTTCTTTTCTCAATTTTTTAAATCAAGTGAAACTAGAGAGAAAAAAATTTAATGAAATTAGTTATTTATTTGTTAATATTTATATGTTTTTATTTGATAAGATTGCCAATTTCATTTTATTTTAAAAATCAAAGAGGTTGGCTATTATAATTATAATATAATAAATATGTATATACGTATAGTAAATATATTCTCATGTAATTGTATACCATATTTTTATATACTGCATACTATGTTTTATTACATAACTTTCAAAATACTAACATACTTTTTTACCCTTCTACTCAATATTTTATTTCGAGCCAAATGTTACTGCCGGATAATCATAATATCCGGCCATAACCGGATATCCGGCCTACTAGCCGGATAGATACTGCCTGCCGGATATCCGTTGCATCTCTAATCACAACACGTGAGATCAAAGAGAGGTTAAATTTATCGAATTCAACTGTTTATGACCACTTGAAAGGCCTGTGTATGTGACCTCGAAGCTCGATGTATGGGTTCCCCATGCGCTCCCGGCGAGAAATTTGTGTCGTCGCATTGACGTCAGTGATTCGCTTCTCAAACGTCACGAAAGTTATCCATTTTTAAGCTCATCATAACTGGGGACGAAAAATGGGTTGCCCATAACAATGTCAAACACAAGAGATCATAGAGCAAAAAAGATTAAACGGCTCAAAGCATTTCAAAAGCCAATATCCATCAAAAAAGGTGATACTGCCTGTTTGGTGGGATGTTAAGGGAATATTATTTTTTTTTTAGCATTTTCCGGATAACACAACACTTAATTCGTAAGCCTACTGTCGTCAGCTGGACAAACTAAATGATGCTCTTCAACAGAAAAGGTCTGAATAAATCAACAGAAAAGGTATAGTGTTCTACCAAGATAATGCGAGACTTCATACAAGTTTGGTCACTCGCAAAAAGCTTTTACAGCTTGAATGGGATACACTAACACACCCACCATATTCTCCAGATCTGGTGTCTTCGGATTATTATTTGTTCTGGTCACTACAAAATTTTTTGGACTGCAAAACCTTTATTTCAAATGAAGAGGTAAAAAACCATCTGGATCAGTTTTTTGGCAGCAGAGACCAAAAATTTCATGAGCGTGGAATCATGCTACTACCAGAAAGATGGCAAAAGGTGTTGGACCAGAATGGCCAATAAATAATTTAATAATATATTTATTCATTATACGAAAATTGTCTTTCATATCCCCCCCCCAAAAAAAACAAAATCCCACGTCCGAACAACCCTATAATTTATATATTTTGACGACCATGAGTGCCAAACCAAATCAAAGACTGTAGATGTTTGCAAGGGGGTGGTTTCGAGTTAAACCTATCGAGTTGGTCCCTTTCTGTGCAGGCTTTATGGAGATTTCCGTATCGTGATCGGTGGCAGAATAATCACCAAGTTTTGGAAACTTCTAGGCAGCTGCCAGCGAGAAGTCCCGGGGTGGCCACAAGTTCTATATTTAAAGTCCCTTTCTGCTAGTTATGACTTTAAAGTTATTTAGAAATGTTAGCATACTTCGACATTTTTTAAAACTATTTAGGCTGTTGTGTTTTTTAGCTTTTACGAAGCAAATACTTTCAATGAAGCATGGAATTTATCCCTATCTCAATAACAACTTGGGTAATAGTCCCAGTTTCAAATTTAAAAAAAAAAGTCAAAGATAAAAACAAAGAAACTAGCTAGAACTTTATTTTAAAATTGAGCTTCAAAAGAACATGTCGTTCATGCGGACTAAGTCATTAATTTAATAGTATACTTTTTAAACTATAAAAGTCAATGACAATTTAAACATTGAAATTAAGAATTGTTCACGTAATAGCTTAACCTCGTATTTACATACATACAAATACGTTAAACAATCATAATTTTTAAGTTACCTTGGTGCAGTTCCAAATGAAAAACCGCCAAAAGGCGTTTGAGTATTCTGTTGATCACCAAATGCGAAAGTACTCATTTTAAATAAATTAGTTTTCTTTAAACATTATAAGAATAAAATCATTAAATATAACTTTTGAAAAATATGAAATTTAGATCAACATCTAAAAATTATATTTAAATATGACAAATAAGTGTTGCCATCACAACTCACGGCCCAAAAAAAATGATTATTTTAAAATGCTATCTTCTCAGTAATCGATATGAACAAAATCGATTTTTAAGCTAATAGTAACTTTTGAAACAGCGTCGCAAATGGGTTCAACAGCAGAATGGGCGGTATGGATATCCGTTCAGAAATTTATAATTACTGTTTTCGAAAAGAAAGTCGGGGTGTACTTTACTTCTCTGTCGAAATATATGTGACTTTTACTCAAGGTAGATACTGTGTTTACATTGTGCTTGAGCTGCACAATGGGCAACGGTCTGGGAAACATCCGTGAGGATGATCCGAAGACATGCCATCATAATTTTTTTCCTCTGCAGGGGGCATGGCTCCTCCACTTTTGGCAGCCCAATGATCTACGCGCGAAGTGGAGCACTTTACTGAATGAGGTCCGATACACTGCACCCTCGGTCCCTACGCAGTCTGATCAAAGTGGTCACCCAAGCGCTTTGCTGCAAACAGCCAGTGATGCTTGACTTCAGTGTTCTACTAGGAACCGTGTCTTTACGATCAGCCCACCACTGGACACTTTTTCTTTTACTCAAACGTGTTGTGAAATAAATACAAAAGTATAAAGTGTTTTACTGCTTGTCACTATGAATGGCGCACTATTTGTGTCAGATTTGCTATTTTTAAAATTTGTGCGAGGGACATAAGTGCAACTTTTTATAAAGAAAAAACAATCAGATGTGATCCCGATACTAATGTAGAAATAATATTTAATAGAACAGGTAACCTTTTTTTAATCAAAAAAATGAATCTTTTTCCAAAAATGATAATTTAAGTAAAAATAATTATTATGATTTGATCAAATGGCGTTATTGTTTGGGTTACTTAATGACGTAATTAATTGTGCTAAAACTAAAAAATATTAAAGAAATAAATGTTAACAAATTGGGATATAAAAATGGATATTTTGCATAGCGTGTATCTATGAACGTGGTCCTATGCAGGCGGAATCCTTAGGTAAGAATTTATACTTTATTTAATGAGGAGTTTTTTTAGATATTGTGAAAGTGAAATAAGATTGTTAAAACACGAAAAGTGAAACATTTCATACGCTTGTTGAAGTTAAAAATGATCTGTAGAAAAAATTACTTTCTGAGGGAGAAACTGCGAATTATATTAGGAATAGATGTCATACGAAATTCTTTAATAGTAAAACACCATATGAAATGTGGAAGGATGAATTACAGAATGCAGTATGTTTCATTTGGGTGCATAACTTCCTGTTTAAATATGAAATAGAATTCCTTATGAAATAGAAAAATATTTAACCCTAGAGATAAAATAAAAATGATAGGAGATTGTTAATTAAATTTTAAAGAAACTTGCGTTAATCGCGCAATTTCTCTTCAAAACACAGGACTCAAGAGTCAAGACACAAACGCTCAGCAGTGGACTTTATTTAAATTCTTCTGACAATGGTTTCTGCCCTCCTCCTCGCTACCAACAGCTGCTCGCACACGAAATTGAGCATTTCGCCCAACATTTGAGGCAATCATTGTTATACTCACTTAACATTTAAGTATTCTAATTAATATTAATTTAACGCTTTACACAATTAACACTCGCAACTCTCAATTACATAAATCACTAAATGCAAATGAACAACACAGTTCATAAAGCAGTAAACGTAAGCAAATAGAATAACAAGTTATTAATATTTATTTTTTTTAGAATTTCAGATGCACTCAACTAATTAACTACTTTTATATCAGTAAAAACACTAAATGTAACACATTCAATTCATTATAAATTTAATGATGTGGCATTGGTGAAACACAAATTTTAGAGATAGCTCTTTTACAAGCACTATGTAACTATGTTTAGTTTTAACTTTTTAACAACACGAATTTTTATCTTCTCACAATAGTACAGTTCAACATTCCTGCACCAAAACCCTATTTGCACAAAAACGTCCATTTATAGGGTTAGATTTTTTTCAATTATCGCTACCAAATTTCCTATTTTAACATTATTTTTTTGAAACATCCATTTGCCTCGTTGTTGCAATTGGCTCATATAGTTACGACTCCAAAATTTCCGCATTAAGTGAACTACTCATGCTATTCTTTTTCCATTTTTTAGTATTAACTCTATTTACATTTTATTAAATCTGGCTCTTCAATAGAATTTAAAGATCTATTTAATAAAAAATTGTACGGGGGTGAAAATTACAAAATCGTTATCGTTGACTGCCAAGAGACAAAGCTCATATTCCCTCGATTTGTACAGTAACCGTATGATAATACACCGGTCATAAAATAAAATAGGATTTACTTCTTTCTTCATAGGGATAGAATGTGGACTATTGAAATAGTACGAGGACTACGAGGAGAGTCTATTGTGTATTGTTTATTGAAAAGACTCAGTACAGTAATAATGTGTAAAATTCCAACTAGTTTTGCTTTGTCTCACTATAAGGCATACAGTATTCCATCAATAAAGCAATACAATAAATTGTATCCAGCATCCGCTGATAACTCCTTTTTCAAATAGTTGTTGGATAGTTTTCTACTTAATTTTAAAATAACCACTGAAAAGGAGCTTTTTCCATAGATTTGGGAGCATTGCCAAACAGGGAAATCATCAAAGTAGTCGGTAAGTTTCGAAAATTCTTCATTTTTATTTTTGCCTTTCGAAGATAAATAAATATCACACTCACGCACTAATTCATGCAGTTTAAATTATGTTTCTCCCTGTTTCACACTAATGTGAGTAATTAATCATCTATCGAGAGTACTCATTATTTTATCCGATACTATAAATTCACAGACAGATTTTAAATCATTTACATTACGTTATTGAAAATAATACTCAAATGTCGCACTTAACCTTAACGCAAATTGTACATAACTCTCTGAACTTATTTTTTTGATTTTTTCGGACTTTAAGCATTCTTGTAGTGCAGGGGGAAATTCTTTTAGTCCTAAATCTTTCAGTTTACTGTAATTAGTTAACCCTTCCTCAGAAATGCGAACCATTGAATTACTAACCTAAAATATTTAAAAGAATTTTGCATTTAAATTGTTTAGGAACCACTTTTGTTTTGAATGATTTTTCGAGTCACTGAATAAATAAATTACATGATTCTACTCGTGAGGGTAATGGTATTGTTAATGTTTTCATCGATTTTAATACGGTCTCAATATTAATATTATTTGCATTCTCAGATACACTAACTTTTCGTAAGAGCGGAAATAGCCGTCTACAATTGTATATAGTCGTCATTTGTCTCCTTTCCTTTCATCAATTGTTTATCTAATGGGTCGTGTCTACAAACTTACTGATTTCATTTTGATCAACTTAAGGCGAAGTGTTATTTATTTTCTACTACTCATCCGATTCGCGTTCCAGTTATTTTATTGTCTCACTACGAATTGAAATATTTCACTATTAATCGGAAAAGGGCCCACGGGAGGTCTAAAACTTTCAAGACTATGACACAAACCCAGGATATTAATTCTGTATCTTGGGTATGACCTAACTCTAATTATACAAAGGCAGCATATCAATAAACACATTACCTCTATATTTTTAGATTATCAACAACTGCATTCAATAAAATAAACCTTTTGAACGAAAAGCGAATATTTTTTCTCCTGCATGGTTAGAATTTTTTTTTATTTTTATAAATCTAGAGACTTCAGCGACTCCAAAGAGTTTATGGTAATTGATCAATAAATAGCAACTTTAAAAGTAGTTTTGAGAAGCGATTTGTCATTCGCATCCCTGCAATAATATTTACGCGAGCCACTGTGGCTTAGGCGATAGAGCGTTCGCCTCCAAATGAGATGACTAAAGTTCGAATCATGGCGGTGACTGGTTTTGCTCACGACCACGGTGCTGAAGTAGGATATCGTCAGTAGGTAGACTGATCATAGGTTATATACTCTCATTGTCGTCGTACTAACAGTAGGGGTCCTTACCATGTTACGGAAANTCCTTTATGATGTTTAAGTTAAGTTATGATTTTACTTGCTTAATAAAATTTATGATTAGTTAAAAGATGACTTTTTTCATTATGCTTGCTGGGCATTTTCCACAACGCACTAAACTCTGCCAGCAGGATTTAAAGCTAAGACTTCGTTAATTTTGTTGCATACAGCAAGTGTAGTTTTTAAAAAGTAGGAAAAAATTAGCCTCTTTAGATACATATTTATACGGATACAATGGAGAATTTTTTTTTTTTTTTTGACATTAATTCTCGAATGCAAATATTTCACTATTAATCGGAAAAGTGCCCATGGGAGGTCTAAAACTTTCATGACTATGACACAAACCCAGGATATTAATTCTGTATCTTGGGTATGACCTAACTCTAATTATACAAAGGCAGTATATCAATAAAAACATTACCTCTATATTTTTAGATTATCAACAACTGCATTCAATAAAATAAACCTTTTGAACGAAAAGCGAATATTTTTTCTCCTGCATGGTTAGAATTTTTTTTTATTTTTATAAATCTAGAGACTTCAGCGACTCCAAAGAGTTTATGGTAATTGATCAATAAATAGCAACTTTAAAAGTAGTTTTGAGAAGCGATTTGTCATTCGCATCCCTGCAATAATATTTACGCGAGCCACTGTGGCTTAGGCGATAGAGCGTTCGCCTCCAAATGAGATGACTAAAGTTCGAATCATGGCGGTGACTGGTTTTGCTCACGACCACGGTGCTGAAGTAGGATATCGTCAGTAGGTAGACTGATCATAGGTTATATACTCTCATTGTCGTCGTACTAACAGTAGGGGTCCTTACCATGTTACGGAAATGCGGGTTTGCTCCCCACAAAGACTAATCTTCCTCAAAGCTTGATCAAGGAGTTCCACTGCGTTCCGGATTTTGTTCAAAATTATGACTACGGAGTTGAACATAGATACCAGTCGTAAACTCAGAATTTGAACGGCTGTTTAATAAAATAGTATTATTGATTTTCTACATAGTCCACTATATACCGCCTATTGAAAAGGAGCGGAAATAATGTGTATAGTTCCGGACTAAAACTTTTGTCGACAAAT